CTGTTGGGTACTGGCGGTTCAGATCTTCCTACCTGCTCCCAATGGAGCTATAATCAAGGCATTTACCAACCCGGGAGTTGCGAGGCCAGGCTTGTAGCTGCCCATGGTGCGCTCTCCCCGGGCTGCCCAAGGGGGGGGAGAGGGTTAATCCCTGGGACAGCTTGTTGCAGCTGGTGGAAGATGCAGCGGGGAAAGTCCTTGTAAGGACTGAGAGCCAGTTCCCCTATCGGTTCCCCTGTTCCAGCTAGGAAGTGGTCTCTTTAACGGAGGTAACCGGTCAGGTAGCCAGAGGGGTCCATTACTGGCTCCATAAACAAAGTGATTTAATTCCTAAAAGACAGAGAATTGATCAGTGAGACTGCAGGGGCATGATCTATACACCAAAAATGCTTCCTTAAGTTAACGTAGTTTTGGTAACTATAATGTCCCTTTGAATCTGAAATTCACTTTGAAGTCTCACTCTAGTGAATAATCTTGCAAAACCTAGATTGAATAGCACTATAGCACAGAACAGAAAAATATGGAGGCATAAGTAGAGGGCTTGCCTAAGACATTATGCCTCTGTCCACTGCACAGTGCCCTTACCAAAAACTCACCCCCTAAAGTAACACCCACTTAATAGAAATCCACTCCCATCACGACCTTCTCCTGTCCGCTGCTCGCACCCATACGGCCAACTCACGCTTGCAGGACTTCTCGCGGGCGGCTTAAAACCCATCTCTTTAGGAAAGCTTATGGCCTCCCTGAGTAACCTCTACCGTACATACCTGTCTCTTGCTCTCTCCTAAAGGGCAGCATTCTACTCTCTCCCCCAGCTCTGCTTCATTCCCACCTTGATTTCTATTTCCTGTCCTAATGTGCTTTATACCCCACCTCCTACAGACTGCTTGTTTGAGCAGGGGTCCTCTTCACCCTATCGTTCCTGTAATTTTTCTTGTAATTGTCCTATTTATAGTTAAATCCCCCCTCTCATAATATTGTAAAGCTCTATGGAATCTGTTGGCGCTATATAAATGGCAATAATAATAATAATAAAAATGAGTGTCGACCTGTACTGAGTGGAACCTTAGACTGGTCCCACCATGACAGAGCCATCTTCTTCATAGAAGTAAGGATTTGGTGGTACACATTTATATAAATAGAAACTAACTCACAAATTTTATCAGGAGTTATCTTATTATTTATATTGGTTGTTATTCACAGTAATTGCTTAATATCATTCAACCTATATATTTTTTCTTTGATACTTTTTATTTTCTCTTTTATACCTATTATTTATTTTACATATACCAACTGTAGAAAGGATAACATATTACATATTGAGATAAACCAAAAGAAGATGGAGGTCCAGAATGTGTGTGTTTGGGGGGTGGAGAAGGAAGCTAGACAACAGCCCAAGCAGTGGCGTACATACCGGGGTTGCAGGGGTACGTCTGTTAGTATGTTTGGTGTCTGTTAGTGAGTGTGTGTTTGTCAGTGAGAGTGTATGTTTTGTAAGTGAGTGTGTGTGTCTGTCTTTCAGTGAGTGTGGATGTATGTCTGTCACTGAGTGTGTGTCTGTCAGTAAATGTGTGTGTCTGTTAGCTAGTGTGTATGCGTCTGTTCGTGAGAGTGTGTGTGTCTTCAGCACTTACCTTTCTCCAGCGCCGGACTCCCTTGGCGCTGGGGATCCCTCCGCCCTTATCCGCCTCTCAGCTCTGAAAGCGCATGCGCGGCAAGAGCCGCGCGCGCATTCAAATCGCCCATAGGAAAGCATTACTCAATGATTTCCTTTGGACGTTCAGCGTCTTATCACAGTGAGAATCACGGAAGCTCCTCTAGCGGCTGTCAATGAGACAGCCACTAGAGGCTGGATTAACCCTCAGTGAAACATAGCATGTTTTCAGCTGCAGGGTTAAAACTAGAGGGACCTGGCACCCAGACTACTTCATTGAGCTTATGTGATCTGGGTGTCTGTAGTGATCCTTTAAGTGTATATGTATCTGCATGCACTGGCGTACATACCAGTGGCTGATCACTGTAAAAAAAAAACTATTGCCCCCACCCCAGTGCGACGGGTGGGGGCCCTAAATAACAATAAGGGGGGGACCTACTGTCCTCCCCCCCGGCCCCCACCCACCGCTCAGGGGTGGGGGCCGGGAGGAGGACATTAGGTCCCCCCCCTTAATATGGCCCCCACCCACTGCTCAGGGGTGGGGGCCGGGGGGAGGACATTAGGTTCCCCCCCAATTTTTATTTATGGCCTCCACCCACCGCTCAGGGGTGAGGGCCAGGGGAAAGACAGTGTCCCCCCCTTATTGATATTTAGGGCCCCCACCCACCGCTCAGGGGTGGGGGCCGGGGGGTACAATAGGTCCCCCCTTTAGTTTAAAAGCCCCCACTCGCGCGTTGCGGGTGGGGGCTCAGGAGGAGGGAATGTTTTGGGGTTTTTTAAACAGTGAGCAGCCACAGGCTTAATAGACATGCCCTTACTCGCAGTAGGGGCATAATTTAATAATACTAAGTAACCAGCTTATATAGAGGCTGGGTCACATGCTGCACTGGTCAATCACAGCCATGCCATTAGTAGGCATGGCTGTGATGGCTTCTAAGGGCAAACGAGTCAAACGCTTGTTGATTGGCTGCCCTGCAGCCTTTCAAAACGCGCCATTGAATCGCCGAACTCCAACCTGAACATACAGTGATATGTCCGTGTTCGGGTCCGGGGTCGAAAAAACCAAAGCATAAATACATCAACTTAATGGGAGATAGGGTGAGTGCCAAGCTATCTATTTTTGTATATATATATATATATATATATATATATATGTTCACATACATACACTGCTGTGTGTGTGAGGGTGCTGTTAGTGTGATGTGTGTGAGGGTGCTGGTAGTGTGCTATGTGGGTGAGGGTGTTTGTGTGTGTGTGTTTGTGAGGGTGATGTTAGTGTACTGTGTGTGTGAGGGTGATGTTTGTGTGCTGTGTGTGTGAGGGTGCTGTGTGTGAGTGCTGTGTGTGTGAGGTTGCTGTGTGTAACTGGTAACTGGCAGTGACCGACTGTGGTAAGTGACAGCGAGAGCAGTGCCCCCTATGACAGACTGTGGTAAGTGACAGTGAGAGCAGCGCCCCCTGTGACAGACTGCGGTAACTGACTGCGAGAGCCCCCTGTGAGAGACTGTGGTAACTGACAGTGAGAGCCCCCTGTGACAGACTGCGGTAACTGACAGTGAGAGCAGCGCCCCCTGTGACAGACTGCGGTAACTGACAGCGAGCGTAGCGCCCCCTGTGACAGACTGTGGTAACTGACAGCGAGAGCAGCGCCCCCTGTGACAGACTGCGGTAACTGACAGCGAGAGCAGCGCCCCCTGTGACAGACTGGGGTAACTGACAGCGAGAGCAGCGCCCCCTGTGACAGACTGCGGTAACTGACAGCGAGCGCAGCGCCCCCTGTGACAGACTGCGGTAACTGACAGCGAGCGCCCCCTGTGACAGACTGCGGTAACTGACAGCGAGCGCCCCCTGTGACAGACTGCGGTAACTGACAGCGAGGGCAGCGCCCCCTGTGACAGACTGCGGTAACTGACAGCGAGCGCCCCCTGTGACAGACTGCGGTAACTGACAGCGAGCGCAGCGCCCCCTGTGACAGACTGCGGTAACTGACAGCGAGCGCCCCATGTGACAGACTGTGGTAACTGACAGCGAGAGCAGCGCCCCCTGTGACAGACTGTGGTAAGTGACAGTGAGAGCAGCGCCCCCTGTGACAGACTGCAGTAACTGACAGCAAGTGTAGCGCCCCCTGTGACAGACTGGGGTAACTGACAGTGAGAGCAGCGCCCCCTGTGACAGACTGCGGTAACTGACAGTGAGCGCCCCCTGTGACAGACTGCGGTAACTGACAGCGAGAGCAGCGCCCCCTGTGACAGACTGCGGTAACTGACCGCGAGCGCCCCATGTGACAGACTGCGGTAACTGACAGCGAGAGCAGCGTCCCCTGTGACAGACTGCGGTAACTGACAGTGAGCGCCCCCTGTGACAGACTGCGGTAACTGACAGCGAGAGCAGCGCCCACTGTGACAGACTGCGGTAACTGACAGCGAGTGCCCCCTGTGACAGACTGCGGTAACTGACAGCGAGCGCCCCATGTGACAGACTGTGGTAACTGACAGCGAGAGCAGCGCCCCCTGTGACAGACTGTGGTAAGTGACAGTGAGAGCAGCGCCCCCTGTGACAGACTGCGGTAAGTGACAGTGAGAGCAGTGCCCCCTGTGACAGACTGTGGTAACTGACAGCGAGCGCCCCCTGTGACAGACTGCGGTAACTGACAGCGAGAGCAGCGCCCCCTGTGACAGACTGCGGGTAACTGACAGCGAGTGACAGACTGCGGTAACTGACAGTGAGCGCCCCCTGTGACAGACTGCGGTAACTGACAGTGAGAGCAGCGCCCCCTGTGACAGACTGCAGTAACTGACAGCGAGCGCCCCCTGTGACAGACCGCGGTAACTGACAGCGAGCGCCCCCTGTGACAGACTGCGGTAACTGACAGTGAGAGCAGCGCCCCCTGTGACAGACTGCGGTAACTGACGGCGAGTTGTTTTTCAGTTTTCTCTTTGTCAGGAGTCGGATCTGCAGGGGGCGGGGTTTTCTTCGCAGACGCTTGTTTTTGTTCTTTTTTCATTGGTCCATATTCTTGCCGGATTCTCATTGGTCAGCGTGAGCAGTTACCGTGGGGCGTGACGCATAGAGTGACACAGCCTGCGATTGGTTCGAGGAAAGGAATAAGGCGGTGAGGAGGCGTGTCCTAGTGACAGGCAGAGCGCTGGGAATAATTATGGTGAGAGGTGTGGGCGGGGCATGCTTTATGGAGATGGGGGAAGAAGGCGAAGTGGGCGTGGTTTGATGTTTGTCATGCCTTGGTGAGATACTTTGTTTAGCTGAGTGGGCGCGGTTAGCTGAGCGATGGGCGTGACTAGCCGGTTGGTGGGCGTGTTCCGTCAGATGATGGGCATGTGCTGTGTCAGTCCGTGTCTCCGGGGTCCGGGCTGCACAGCTCGCCAGGCACAGTGAGCATGAACCGGGCCGGCACGGACAGCCTGTGCTCCACCACCAGAGACTACCTGATCTGCAGCCAGTGCCACAGAGTGCTCAGCAAGGTAGGCTCACTCTGAGAGGGCACTTACACTGCACCCTACACTCACACTGCACCCTACACTCACACTGCACCCTACACTCACACTGCAACTACACTGCACCCTACACTCACACTGCAACTACACCCTACACTCACTGCAAGTACACTCACACTGCAACTACACTGCAACTACACTGCACCTACACTGCACCCTACACTCACACTACAACTACACTCTCACTGCACCCTACACTGCACCCTACACTCACTGCACCCTAAACTCACTCTGCACCCTACACTCCCTGCAAGTACACTGCACCCTACACTCACCCTACACTCACACTGCACCCTACACTGTAACTACTCACACTGCACCCTACACTAACTACTCACACTGCACCCTACACTGTCACTACATTCACACTGCACCCTACATTCACAACAACTACACTCACACTGCACCCTACAGTCATACTAACACAGGAACTACACTCAACATAGAACAACTTCACTCACTGCAATTGCACTCACAATAACACTCACTCGAACTGCACTAACACAGCAAACACACTCACATTGCAACCTACCTATAACCATTACCAATCAGGTACACTCACACCTAAGCTGAACTAACTGCAACCTTACTTACAATAGAACTACGCACGGGTCACTTTTCACGACAACAACACTGCATTCAAACAGCCTGCCCTACAACTACATTCACTCTGAGCTACACTCATACTTCACTAACAGCACTCACAGTTCATCCCCTCACTGAGATCAGTCATACTTCATTAAGGGTTAATGCATAGTTACCAACTACAGTGTGAGGCAAGAGTTAATGCATATTGCTGCTCAATCACAGTGTGAGGCAAGGGTTAATGCATATTACTGCTCAATCACAGTGTGAGGCAAGGGTTAATGCATATTACTGATCAATCACAGTGTGAGGCAAGGGTTAATACATATTACTGATCAATCACAGTGTGAGGAAAGAGTTAATACATATTACTGATCAATCACAGTGTGAGGAAAGAGTTAATGCATATTACTGATCAATCACAGTGTGAGGAAAGAGTTAATGCATATTACTGATCAATCACAGTGTGAGGAAAGAGTTAATGCATATTACTGATCAATCACAGGGTGAGGAAAGAGTTAATGCATATTACTGATCAATCACAGTGTGAGGAAAGAGTTAATGCATATTACTGATCAATCACAGTGTGAGGAAAGAGTTAATGCATATTACTGATCAATCACAGTGTGAGGAAAGGGTTAATGCATATTACTGATCAATCACAGTGTGAGGAAAGAGTTAATGCATATTACTGATCAATCACAGGGTGAGGAAAGAGTTAATGCATATTACTGATCAATCACAGTGTGAGGAAAGAGTTAATGCATATTACTGATCAATCACAGTGTGAGGAAAGAGTTAATGCATATTACTGCTCAATCACAGTGTGAGGAAAGAGTTAATGCATATTACTGATCAATCACAGTGTGAGGAAAGAGTTAATGCATATTACTGATCAATCACAGTGTGAGGAAAGAGTTAATGCATATTACTGCTCAATCACAGTGTGAGGCAAGGGTTAATGCATATTACTGATCAATCACAGTGTGAGGCAAGGGTTAATGCATATTACTGATCAATCACAGTGTGAGGCAAGGGTTAATGCATATTACTGATCAATCACAGTGTGAGGAAAGGGTTAATGCATATTACTGATCAATCACAGTGTGAGGAAAGGGTTAATGCATATTACTGATCAATCACAGTGTGAGGAAAGGGTTAATGCATATTACTGATCAATCACAGTGTGAGGCAAGGGTTAATGCATATTACTGATCAATCACAGTGTGAGGAAAGGGTTAATGCATATTACTGATCAATCACAGTGTGAGGAAAGGGTTAATGCATATTACTGATCAATCACAGTGTGAGGAAAGGGTTAATGCATATTACTGATCAATCACAGTGTGAGGAAAGGGTTAATGCATATTACTGATCAATCACAGTGTGAGGAAAGGGTTAATGCATATTACTGATCACAGTGTGAGGAAAGGGTTAATGCATATTACTGATCAATCACAGTGTGAGGCAAGAGTTAATGCATATTACTGATCAATCACAGTGTGAGGCAAGAGTTAATGCATATTACTGATCAATCACAGTGTGAGGAAAGGGTTAATGCATATTACTGTTCACAGTGTGAGGAAAGGGTTAATGCATATTACTGATCAATCAGTGTGAGGCAAGGGTTAATGCATATTACTGATCACAGTGTGAGGAAAGGGTTAATGCATATTACTGATCACAGTGTGAGGCAAGGGTTAATGCATGTTATTGATCCCAGTGAGAGGTCTCTGTGATCAGTAACATACATTCACCCTTCCTTGTCTCACTGTGACTAGTAATATGCATTAACCCTTTCCTATGGCTGAGAGCTGTAACATGCATTTAACCCTTCTCTCGCTGTGATAGAAGGTAAAACTCCATGGATTTGAGTAATTTTGCAACCTAGATTACATATGTTAACCCTTCCCTGGTACTGTGATCACTGTCACATGCGTTAACCCTTATTCTGTCTCTGTGATCAGTTACATGTATTAACCCTTCCTTTAACTGTGATTGGTAAACATGCATTAATCCTTCCAGATACTGTGATCATTAACACGTTACAATGCCCCTATCATATGGGCAACAGACATACCCATTGTACAGCGCTATGGAATTTGCTGGTGCTATATAATTAACCTTTTGCCTCATTTAGACCATTAACATGCCTGCACCCTTTTACTCTCAAAGTATTTAACTTGCACTGCATTGACCATTCTTTTACCACACTAACAAACCTCAAATATTAACCCCTCATTGACCATGGAAGACTGTCAAGCTCCAATCCAGCATCTATTTCAATAAGACTTTAATGCATTGTGATAAAAGTTATTTGCAATGTGACCGGTATGCAAAAGACCATTTATAAATCCATCCTAAACAGTGGAGCAAATCACATTTTTCCTTTTTATGTCACAGTGAGCTAAAACTGTCACTTGGCTCTCAAGGGTAAATACTGTCTTGTACAATCAAGTACTTTTGTAATAGACTTCTTATCGTTGATGAAATTTTTTTTTCTTCTGTTATACCTTTTTATTAATTCATTCATTGTTTTCCACCCAGCCTGTAAATCCATAATGGCATTCCATATATTGACTGTCCTATTCTAAAGGGATCATTAGAATGGGAGGCACTGCTCCAGTACCCAGTGCAAATCTGTCCCTTTGGGTTTAATCGCTAAATAGCAAACTGACAAAGAAGCACAACACCTAACGTTTATTTGAAATCCTCCACCACTTTTTTTTTCTTTGATTTGATATTTCCTAATTTCTCAGTTTAATCCATGACAGTTCACAATTTAGTAAATAATCCCTTTAAACCCAAAACAGCGAAATTGGATAGAGAAGCATGTTGGATCATTTTTATTTTTTTCTGCTTTTTTTGGGCTCAGTTTGTGTAAGTGCCCTCTTGATTCTCTGCTGTTGAGTCACTCATTAGAAAAATAAACCCCTTTTGATTATTTGACTTTACAGTGGCCTTGTGACAATCATAGGTAAATCTCTCTATAATCTCTCTTCGCCTTTAGTCTTCTGTGTAGGTAACCTGCGGTTATTGCTAACAAATCGCCCAAATATACTAATCGCTGTGCTCTTTTGGTCAATTAGATGCTTACTTATAATGTAATCTAAATGTGATCATATAATAAAAAAACTAGCCTTCTTTATTCACTCCCATTCAGGCACTAACATATCCTTTTAATAGGGGACATTTACAATGATTTCTGCTCTTTGAATACATAGAGGGTTATTTACTAACAGGGTTATTTACAGAAGTGAGAATTCAAACTGAATTTCAAATGTTAAATCCGAAATAGGAAAACTGTGGGGGGGGGGGAGACGCAAATGCATTCAAGAGAACTTCTGTGGCCTTAATTTTGAAATTCCCTTTGAATCCACTTTGAACTCCCACTTATGTAAATAACCCAGTTATTTTCTGTATAAATCGCTAAAATGTTATGCAATGTCAATTTGCCCAGTTTTTAAATTATGGTTATTCACTACGCCAGTTATTGTGGAAAATGGACCGAGGAATTTCAAATTTGTAAGCCAAATTAGACACAATTCAAAGAATTCTACAACGCTCTTCTATTTTTACAGCTAAAATGTAAAGGCCCAAAATCTCAATTCACTTTTTAGTTTTCTAGAATTCCTGGTTTTCGGTGAAGTGTGCCAAATAAATTGCTCAGGGGTTTAATCATTAAAAGGAAATTTTGGAGAGTGGAAACCAACTTAGCAAAATGTAGGTCAGAAATCCCCACACTGGCATTGAATTGGTTCCGTTGGATAATTTAACTGTGCTATTTTCAGTTTAAAATTTTGCAAATCCTGGTTTAATTTCAACACAACCTATTATTTGCTGCATTAACCTATTGTTTTTTGCTGAAACCTATTTGATACCGTTTATAATTATTTTGGTTAAATTACTTCCTTAGAAATTTCTATTGGCTTTTTTTCCCATTAAATTGTGAATTGTCAATGTCAAGGACATTTACACTTTTTAGACCAAAGTAACTAAAGTGGAAAAATGAATTATGCCAACTAAATTGTCCCTTGTCAATTTTTTCCCAAATGTCAAATTTACTGATAAATAATCCCCAATATAATAGCATATTGTTCAGAATGAATTTATAATTTTAAATAACCAGGCTGAGAGAAATTGGACTCTCTATTTAAAAAAAAAAAAAAAAAAAAGTTATGAGACATTTTGTGGAATATTTAATATTGTTTGTATAATCCCAAAATATTCAACAGTGCTTTGCTATGGGGCTATAAAGACTGCTAATAAATTAAATATAAATCTAAGGAACATTTCAGTCGCCGTAACTATTACAGAGTGCTGTGGATATGTTGCCAGGAGTACCTTGAAGCACCACTTTGTAAGGAGTTGAACCATTTTTGAATGGTTTGACTCATTACCTCCAGTACTAACAATGAAGAGCTGACCTTCTAAGCTAATAGGCTGCGCCCTGCAAGGCTTAGCTCAGCAGAGCTAATGGGAATTCACATTTAGGAACTTTAGTCTCTCTGACATTGGTGTAGGCTGGGCCAATCAGTTTGACTTGTTACAATGGAGGGGGTGCCAGGGCCCTACTGGTACCACAGCCGCAACAGTGGCATGCAGTAGTTATGGTGCCTGGACTGTTCTTTACAGAATCGGTTATAATCTTTTGCAATCTTGGCTGCATTTGGCACCCATTGTGCACAGGAACCACTAGCTGGTGAGTAACCTTCGAGGTTAACCCCTTAAGGACATATGACATGTGTGACATGTCATGATTCCCTTTTATTCCAGAAGTTTGGTCCTTAAGGGGTTAAACCGATCTCTAATGGCTTAACCCAGCAGTTCTCAAAAAACGGAGATATTTTCACGGTGCTATGATCAAATGATCATAGCATCGGGAACTGTGCCTCCCTCTTCCTGTCGGCTCTGCAGTACCGGAGGGGAGATCAAACTCACCAGCCTGCTAGGACTGTAATGCTGGCAGGTGAGGGGGGAAGAGAGGACTCGGGGGAGCTCTAATTTGCAGCTCCGCCGGGTTCTCCTCTTGCAAGCTCAGCGTTGCTGTGGTTACCACAGAAATGCTCCAAATCTCGCGAGAGTGAACTCTTGTCTGAGCTGTAGGCTAGAGTTCACTCTCACCACTGGGACCACCAAGGTCTCTCCACCGGACCACCAGGGATTAGTACTGTCCCCCCTCCCAGGCAAAGGTAAGCAGAAAGGGAGGATATGAATATAATTATTTTTAATTAAAAATAAATAAATTTATATATTCATGAATTTGCCCTCCTACCCCCAAAGAGACACAATAACTCTCCCCCATACATACATACATACATACATACATACATACATACATACACACACACTTCCCCACACACAAACACTGTACCCACGCACACACACACTGCTCCCCCATACATACATACATACATACACACACACACACTGCTCCCCCACACACAAACACTGTACCCCTCATATAACATGGCCCCCTCACAAACTGTCCCACATACACACACACACACACACACACACAAACACTACATCCTTCACAAACACAATGAACCTCGTACACTCACTGCACCCCTCACACACACTACTGCCCCAATTCCCTACCACAGTCCCTATCTTGGCAGATCCCTGGCAAGTTGTCAAACTGTTCTTAAACAGTTTGACTACTTACCCTGGGAGGGCACTACTGGCACCATAACCACTACAATGTAATGTAGTGGTTATTGTGCCTGGATTGTTTCTTTAAATAATCTACCAATGCCACTCCCAAGATTAGGTTCTGAATCTGCGCCTGAACGGCAAGCATTTCTGCCGAACAGGGCCCCAGTATATGACGCTGCGCTGTACATATATACAACCTAGAAAATTGTTTTGATAAAATATTGAAATATTATGTGCGCCTTGAACCAAAACATTTGGGAACCACTGGTGTTACCCCTTCAGGTAAGAAGGCACCAGGGACCTCCTGGGTATAACAATGAAGATGTTATGGTGCCCATACAATTCTGTGGTGCCTAAGTGAGATATCACTGATATATAGAGCATATTACAAAGGAGAGAATTTACCTTGAACTCCAACAGAAACACCACCTCTTAAATCTTTGTGATCAAACTAGCAGAGAAAGCGTTAAAGAATTCTGTGTATATAATAAGACATGCTATCAAATACATGTTTATATTCTATACTTTGTTCAGACACATCTTCATGTTTTATACTAGTGCCCTCGCACCAGTCAGCCATATATCATAATTGTTATTGTGTACAGTGTTAATACAGCACAGACTGTATACTTTGCTTTTATTATTAGTTCATTGTCTCATATTAACTATTTTTTTTTCTCTCTCAAGGTCATAGGTTTTTTGTGATTACATATTGATTCAATATTTAATATATAGTCCCTTTAAAAAAAAAAAAGAAATGTAGATGAATTGTGTTTTGTTTGTTTTTTTGTTTTTTTTATAATTCATCTTTTATGTATTTATGTCACACTGACTGGGTTTTGAAACCAACGTAAAATTGTTTAGCTTAGTCACTGAAAATTACAGTGAATGCACCTGGGCATTTCAAATGTTAGCCCAGAATAGCTCAACTGGAATAATCCTTTTAAACTACTTTTGCAGCTTGTCTGTTTGGACCTAAACTTTGCTCTGAACTTGCCTATTCTCCTCAATTAATTTGAAGGCCCAACCTCCCCACCCCATTCCTGCAGGACAATACAAATTTGTACAATGGACAGACAAAAACGTCACATTGCAGACACACAAACGTTAGGTGCATGCGCACATTAGATTAGCTACCATGTATTTTCCTTTCTTTGTAATAAATTGTATTGCTTCTTAAAGGAACACTATAGGGTCAGGAACATGTATTAAAACCACCATCTGCCCCCCACCCCCCTTTAAATTTAGCAAACGCTTACCTTTATTGCAGTCTGCTGCTGCTGGCTCTGCCCCTGTTCTGCATCCTTGGCTGACATCATCAAAAGTTGTGTTCTGAGCCTATCACAATGCATCTCTATGAGCAAAGTTAAGTGTTTCCATGCAGTGGGTGCAGATACTGAATATCAGTGTGCTGCACTGCCCCTGTAAGCAACTCTAGTGGCCATCTGAGGAGTGGCCAGTGGAGGTATCCCTAGGCTGTAATGTAAACACTGCACTCTCTCTGAAAAGACAGTGTTTACAGCAAAAAGTATGAAGGGAATGATTATACTCACCAGAACAAATTCAATAGCTGTAGTTGTTCTGGTGACTATAGTGTTCCATTAAGCCCAATCTTTCTTCCCTTCCCAACCAAACTCATTGTTCCTCTGTTTTCTCCAAAATTACGTCTTCATGACACCATGTTGTTTTCTGGATGCTGTGGTTTAGGTGTTTTCTTCAGTAACAACATCTAAAAATTTAAGAAAACCCATTTGGTACAGTGTTCCTTACCTGAGTGTTGCCACATAAGTCTGGGGGCAGTGTGTGTTCCCAGTTGCAGGTCCTATTATGAAATTACATCAGCAATCATTGGCACACGTGCCGTTCTCTTTAGTATTCTCTTCTGGGCAAAACACGGGAATCTTTGCAATGTGAGTTTTCCATTTTCAAATAAGTGAACATCATGAGTTCTTCCTGCTTCAGAGAGGGTTTACTGCGTTGGTGTTTAGTAATGTTCGTAATTTTGTATTGTCTTTTGCATATATATTTATTATGCGATTATAAGACAAACCAAAAAAACAAACAAACACTGTTTGCTAACAATTTGAAAACTTGCATGGGGTTATCCAGGCACTGGTTACCTCATCCACTGATTTGGTTGGAGTAACCCTTTAAAGGAACACTCTGATTTTTAAAATAAATTTTTATCTATATCATATGTTAGATGTGCTTCTTTTAAAAAATCTTACTTTTCTTTAAAAAAAAAAAAAAATGCCATAACTACAAATCCATAACTTTTAAAACCACCATTAAACTTCTCTGTAATTCAGGTTGGGACAGACTCCAGACCGCAGCCCAATACTCGTACTGTGAGATCACTAGGCTTGCTGTTCTGTGTCCAATCAAATTATTCCCTTGCAGAACCAATGTGGGCTTTACGGCGCATGAGTGGCAATCGCTCTCTCTGAGAAGTCACTGAATTGGGGAAAAAATAAACCATGCTAGTTTTCAGAAATATAAATGTGCAAGGGCACATCTATGTCCCATATTACTTCAGTAAGATGAAGTGATCTTGATGCTTAGTGTCTCTTTAAAATTAGAGAAGTCTCACTTTCCAAGGCAACTAAATCTGACATGCCGAGGAAGGAGGCGATTGACACTGCAGCCACACAGTCCTTTCAGATTAGCTCAGGCCTTGCCAGAGAGGTAATGCTGATACCCCTCTACACACATTGGAATCTGAGGAAGTTGCACGACGAATACTGGGACAATGTATTTTGCAAAAGCACTCAAGCTTGTTCACTAAAATGCAACTTTGCAGCTCATAATTCACATTAAAGTAACTAACCTGAGAACTGCTTATTTGTAGATTTTTAGCAGTTGTGAACTAAGACTGGAAATTGACTTTGAATTCCCATCAATTCACATTCTCAGTGAATAACTAACTTTCCTGGGAATTGGAGTGGGTTATGCTTTACTTCCCACTCTTATTTCAAAAGATGAAACACTTATTTGAAGTGAGTGAAGGTTATGTTAAATGCCATATTCCAGGTTAAATTTTGCAAACATTTTTCATTCACGCAGTGCCAAAATTAATTAAATAAATAAAAATACAAACTTGGGAATGTCTCTCTTAGCAGATTATTTTCAAGACTTTTGTTTGCCTAGTGTGTAGATAAAATCATCTATTGAATGGCTGAGAGCTCTCAGCCAGTCTCTGGACACTGTGTGATGTGGATTTCCCTCCTGTCCTTTCTCATAGGATCAGTGTAGCCATGCAGTTCCTATTGTCTGTTTATAAAGAGCTTTCTATAAAATCATAAGTTAGGATCCAGACAAGACTTTCACCAATCAGAGAAACACTTAATTAGCATTTCACACTCGCACAGCCCTTGTTAGTCATACATACTCAATTGTCTACACTCACAATGGTATCACTTTAATTGCTTTTAAACACAAACCGTTAGCCATCTCTTATGTATTAGCCGCACACATAATTGGCTAGTGATGCACACACTCTCACTAGTTAGTCATACAGACCGAATTAGTTATACTCATACCAGTTGCTCTTACTTTAAACATGCTAATTATACTTTCTCTCGTGCAACTAGTGAGTCGCCCACTTTCACACAAAACTAGTTAGTGAAACTAACACACACACACACCCCATCCCCCCCAGCCAATCACATGTTTACCTCTAATTTTGGGGTAGCCTTCATCTTCATCTCCACTGATGCTTTGTCAGTATTATGGTTGTAAGAGTATTATGGGGGATATATATATATATATATTCCACTATATCAAAGTGTCAAAGGTTACCTACCCATTCTCTAATTACAAATATAGGCACTTATCCACTGTATAAAGTCATCCCTTCTCCTGATGTTCATATTTCTCAATTCACACAGAGTTTAATGAAAGACTGTAATGTTAAGGGATTCTCTAGTGCCAGGAAAACAAACCTGTTTTCTTGGCACTGTATAATCTAGGAGTGCCTCCCGCCCCCCCATCCCACGTCGCTGAAGGGGTTAAAACCCCTTCAGACACTTACCTGAATCCAGCGCCGATGTCCTTGAATAATGCTTTCCTATGAGGTCTACTGCGTGCGCGTGGCCATTGATGATGTCCTTCGTGCTGGGTCAGCCTCCGCCCACGCCCCTCGTCTGCCGGTGGGGGAGGAGCATGGACGGAGCCTGACCCAGCACGAAGGACATCATCAATGGCCACGCGCGCGCATTAGACCTCATAGGAAAGCATTATTCAATGTTTTCCTATGGAAATTCCTGCGACACTAGAGGTCCTCATGCATAGCATAGGACCTCCAGCGTCATTTAGACGACCAAAAGTAGTCTTTAATAATTACACTTGCAGGGTTAAGGGTGTTGGGAGTTGGCACCCAGACCACTTCAATGGGCTAAAGTGGTCTGGGTGCCTACAGTGTCCCTTAAGGAACACAAAACAGTTTTCTTAACACTATTGTGACCTCTGCTCCCCCCCCTCCCAGCAAATAAAGGGCTAAAAAAACAAAACCCTTTTTACACTTACCCGATTCCACAATATCCATTGGTGCAGGATGCAGTGTCAGGCTCCTCTATGCCAACCCTGCATACAAACTCCGTAAACTGCAGGAAATGCCTCTAGTGGCTGTCTGGTACACTTCTCTAAAACTTTACTTACATTGCACAGCTAAGAGGACAGACACACTGCACCCAGTAAAATTAAGTGGTCTTGGTGCCTATAGTGTCCCTTTTAATCGCAAGAGGATGTCCAGCTTCTTGAAAATCCCAAAAAGTTTTTAACCCTTTATTTGCCCTCGTGTGGGGGTGGGGGGTGGCATTCTGGGGCAGAGGGACACTATATTGTTAGGAATACATTCTTTTCATGGTAAAATAACTGCAGGACAATCCAAGGCAGATTGTCTACACTCCTTGGCAATAGACCTTATGGGTTAACTCATGCTGGAGTGGACCTAATCATATGCTGTATTTATTTAATGCATTGCAATATGCAAAATAAATCTATAAAAAGGACACTCGTATTTTGATATTCCTGCATTTGCTGCAAATCTCCAGCCATGCATCTTCTGTAGTGAGCTCTTCCTAAACCAGGAACTGACTCTGCCAACTTTCCATCAGACCTGCTAAACTTCTACCATCGTGTGTATGCTCTTTGTGGCAAAGCAAGAGTATCAGGGTGTTATAGTTCCATTGTTAGATTAGTGTATAGAGACAAGAACTAAACTACACCTCTCCAACCAAAACCAAGTTATAAAATCATGTACGCCTGTATGTTTGGAGTAAAAGGGAGGGAATACCAGATTGGAAAGGACCGAAAGTAACATCACTACTATTGTTCTGCTTGCATTTCTTTCTCAGACGTACACAACCTGTAGCACTCCAGCTGCCCATCTTATTATAGACAACATGGCAGCTGGCTCGACATCATAGAAAATCTGTCATCTAAAAAGATGAATTGAGGACACTTTTTTTGTATAGGGAGTCGGTGACCAGTGGGGTGAGAGATTGAATGCAAACCGTTCCTTTAAACATATTAACTGAATTCCTGATGGGCTTAATTTGTTATATTTCCTACTCTCTCCCATGCATTCCGCTGCTGGTCATAATCTCATTGGAAAGGAGATTATCCCTTTTTAGTGTCAGAAGGTTCAGCAAAGTAATCTGTTTCATGCAGCGTCATATAACCAAAGCAATGTCTGCCTTGGTGAATAGGTCTAGATATTCACATTAACCTTTCCTTTGCCAGGGGAGAGAAAGTGCCCTGTCTACACCCCAAGGATAAGAGTGTCAGTTTAAGCACCATAACCACTACAGTCATTTTGTAGTGTTATGATGCTAGTAGGCTCTGTGGACCTTGATCCCCATTTCTGTATCAAACCCTTTTCAAGCAAATTTGGCAGAAAATCTGGGGATTCCCCAGACACTGGTGGCCCGACTCCCCATTTGCATGGCAGTGACAGACCAACAGGTGCATGTACTGGTCTTACAAGGTTATTCACTAAATAAAAGGCCAAAGTAACCAAAATGTAAGCATGGGTGACTTGGCTACGAATTTTCCCAATTTGGCTATTATGACTTTAAATTTGTAATTCACTTTGAATTCTCACTTAAGTAAATTGTAGTCCTGTTCAAAAATTAGTTTTAAGCGATTTGTCCAATTAAAATTCCTGGTAATCTTTGAACAAATCGATTTGAGGACAGTTTTACATGTGAAGTCTACTGATGAGATCGATTCGTACTAATCACGTGACACAATTTTTAAAAATTTTTTTTTTTTTTTTTTAATGTTTAGTGAATAATCCTGTTTGTTTGGATTTTCTGTCATTTGTGCCTGTGCTGCTCTTGATGTTACGTTGTTCTGTCATGCTTGTGCTCACAGTGGTTTTGGTGGGAAGCCTTGGTGGGGGGATGAGGGGTGTGTGGGAGGGAAAAAAGGACATTTATAGAATGTTATTTGTTTATTTTAAAATCTGCTGGTTTCATCAAAATTTTGCTGTACTTGTCTGCTGTATATTTAGTGAATAAAACACTTAATTTAACCAAATTGTACAGTTGTTTTTGAGCGTTCATTTTAAAACCAACCACTTGACCAGTAAAGCGCCAAAGACTAAATGTAAAATCTCTCTTCATTCCACAACAATGCTGGGTAAATGTACGCCTAATAAATGGGAATTAATGCTACTCTATACGTACAATAATTACTACTTGATGATTTGAAGAAAAAAAAAAATGAAAAAAGCCATGAAAATGCGTGTTTCATAAAATACTCTAGTCTAATAGTTAAATTGTTTCGAGTATCCCTATTGTTGGGCTATATTAAAAAAAAAAATCCACTAAGTGTACATGTAAATAGTAATTATAGCATTTAATGTTCTTTAGTGAATAAAAGAAAATAGCCATTTTGTTGGTTTTTTTTTTCAGGGGAAGGGGAGAGGGAGATGGGTTGTTTTTGTTTAATTTTAAAAAGTGAAGTTTTGACCTGAGTTTATCAAAATTGTAGCTTTAAACTGTATCTTTTTATTAAATTCTTCAAGTAAAAAAAAAACAAAAAACAAGAAAAAAAACTTTTTCTCTTCCACTCTGGCTGATAGCCAGCAGAAGTTGTTTTCAGCCCTTTTCTCTTGTTTCTGGCAGCTTGATCCCATGTAAAATGATCTTGTTATTGGGGGGGAAAGTTACAGATACGTTTTGCATGTTGCAAGCAGCTTTCATTGCTTTGCTAAGCAGGATTGTCCATGTTAAAAAATAATAAATAAATGTAACAAACAGCTAATAGTAATATTTTTTTTTTTTAACGTCTTATGAAAAGTGTGTGTGTGTGTGTGTGTGTGTAGTTATGTTCTCCTTAACTCTCGTAGGATCAGATTACATAAAATGCTTTTCAACCACCCCATTGGCGAGCAGAGGGGGAATGTGCAGATCACTGCCTACATTAACCCATTTGCTCCCAGCTGGCTGGCTGCTCTCATACCGTGAATTTCGAACTTGTTTTTCAGAACAGGAATGCTTTCTGTAGGAGGTGTTTCTGGAGGCAGTCCATATGAAAAATGTTTGAGGCCACTTGCTAGCAGTTAATAGTGGAACAAACACTTTTTAATGCTGGAACTTACTTATTTACTAGTCCAGTAAGGGAGGATTTTCTTAAAGGTATTTATGTTGCCTGAGCATAATGGGGATTGCAGTTGTCAATCATATTTACAAAGACAGCGGTGTGTGTTAATATGCATTTGCAGAGCCCCAAGCTAATGTTACTGGTTTGAGTAGCATATTGCGATTGTTTAAAAAAACAAAAAAAAAAAAAAACATGTGCGCTGTGCCTTTTCGGTCAAATTCAAAGGTTTGTAGCGATTGTTGTCCAATGTGAAAGGCAGCTTGAGCAACCCATACCAGTGCCTCTCCTATCTGGTTACTGATGCATGGTAGGGAAGATAAGACGTATTATTATTATTATTGCCGTTTTATATAGCGCCAACAGATTCTGTAGCGCTTTACAATATTATGAGAGGTGTAATTTAATTATAAATAGGACATTTACAAGAAAACTTACAGGAACGATGGGCAGTGCCTTGATGGGGTCCTCTGATTCAAGGTGATATGGAATGGGGGAAAAAAGGAAGGAAATATAGTGTAGTAGGTAGATGCTTGTACAATGGGACAAAGTAGAAATGCACTTACAGTATTTAGAGCTATGAATTGGCTCCAGTTAATGTCTTGGTGGTACATTCCCCACCTGTGGATATAAGCTTGAAGTCTTAGTTCAATGGAGTGTAGTTCGGATATATAATAAAATTGGAATAACAATAACACTGACATAGTTTAGTATGTCAGACGTCTAGAGAAGAGGATAATATATTTAGAAGTGAACACACATTTCATGGAGCCTTTTGTGTAGGGCTTGGAGTAGAATAATCCCCACTCTGGAATCTATGTGCAGTACCCTTTATTGGCTATATGCAGGTTAAAATCCTCACCATGATCTATAAAAACATGTAAAACAAAGTGCACACTGTGTTGTACAATAACAGGTAATGCACTCACTTGGTTTATATACCCCACCAAGGAATTTGATGTAGCAGCATCACCATAATCAGAACGTCCAGAGTTAGTAATTATGCATGAATTTTATTTGAAACGTAATAATAAAAACAAAGAATAACGTAGAATAGCACACAATGCATTTCACCCAGTAAGTAGGCTTTTATTCCAAAGTGTTCACAGATAAGGAGCCCTTCACTGCTTATATACCAGAGTATACAATTTTGAAAGGAACGATCACATGACGTAATAGGGCTGTTTAATTAACTTAAAAACAACTCACATTAAGCAAAAACCAATATGAGAGTTTATAAACTTATAAAATTGAGGTCTTTAGGACAAAAGAAAACCAAGAGATATAAAATGGGGGTGTAGCAAGATGGTTCCGCAGTCCGCGTCATGTGATTTAATGTGGCCTAAAAATATACTCAAAAAACTACTATACCATGGATGGACATAGGCGAGTGAGGAAAGGAAGGGGATCTCAAAAAGAGCATTTTAAAATCAGAAAAATTGACCCCCACCGTGAGAGTAGTAAGTTGGATGCGCTTCGGGAGGGGGGGAAATGGCGCCTTGGCCTGCGTCATGTGACATGCGAGGCCATGATGGGAAAATAAGATTATAGCTAAGGGATGGGCAAACTGGGGGTTATGAATAAAAGTGTAGAACAAGTATTGGAAAAGAGGGGAACTGGATCGTGCAGAAATTGCTGTCCGGCTCGAACAAAATGGTGGTGGTGTGTAGCACATAGACCTAATGCCTCGTTGTGTTCACCTCTACAGCAGGGATATTCTCAATATCCCTGCTGGCATTGATTTGCATGTTGCGATTTACAGCGGCGATGTAGGAGTGGGGCATGGAAACAAGCCTGCGGAGCTGGATTCCAGATACACTTATTTATTTTAGTGCATTTTAATGTTTTTTTTTTTTTTTAAAAAAGGGTTAGGATAAAATTAAGAAAACCAGTGAGCACTATGGGATTTCTCGATCACGGGATTTGTTATAGAATATAAAAAGTATTGAATAAGCAGATCTTGAAGCAATCGTGTCTTGTTCTCCAATAATGCAGACCAATGAACAGTTTCCCTAAACAGTGGTCATACTGAGCCTGACTGCTTCGTGGTAGAATGGTAGAAAAAAAGACCTAGTTGAGAAATAATAAATTAAATTTTTATTTTTATTTTTTTAATTACTCTTGGCATTGTTAAATAAACAATAGTTTGTGTTTTACCCACCCAAAAAGTTGTTTCCAATCTAAACGTTTAACATTCTTGTACACAACTGTCCCTGCCTTTATTGGTTCTTGTGAGTGTATTTCTCTACAGACCTGTTCAATTTTAGCATTTGTCAGCATTTTTCACCCTTACACTGTTTGTCAGCATTTCTTCACCCTTCTCAAAAGAAAACTTTTCCAAATCGCTCAGTTAGATGTTTTTTGTTTGTTTGTTTTTCTCCCCTTTAATGCTCTGTGTCAGAATTCCAGGTGACTGCTTCCCATACCAGGAATTCTTATAGACTGTATCTGCCCTTTTTTCATTTTGTGTACAAAATAAAATTCCTTTAGATGACCAGTAGTAATTTTTTTTTTTTTTTTAACAAGGTTACGAACTGAAATGCGAAATTCTCTGTCTGAAGATAAAGAATTTAAAAAACTAAATTACTTTAGATCACCTACCTCCGCTTAATGAATCCGTCTTCCCCTTTTTTGTTTGTTTTTATCTATTTATCTTTCTTCCCGGAAAGTCTTTTTGAACATACTTTATAAGGTAAAGATATTACTTTATCTTATGGCCTTTAATTCTAGAGACTCAATTAAAGCATTAAACTCTATTTCTCCAACCTTTCCATTTTCTTTGTAGTAGTTCAATAAGTCCATATCCACTGTTGTCTGAGCACGGCCTTTAACCCCTTAAGGACACATGACATGTGTGACATGTCATGATTACCTTTTATTCCAAAAGTTTGGTCCTTAAGGGGTTAATCAATTTGCGCAGCAAGGAAAGCCACTTTAGCCTAATGAAGAAGGTTTGGTGTGTAAATCATGCCCCTACAATCTCACTGCTCAATTCTCTGCCATTTAGGAGTTAAATCACTTTTGTTTATTTATTTATGAAGCCCTAGCCACACCTACTCTGACGGTGACTGACACCGCCTGCATGAAAAAAATTATTTTCAATCATATGTGACTTACTTTAAAAGTTTTTATCTCCTGCTCTGTAAATTGACCTGTAATCACACACAGGTGGCTCCTGCGGAGTCTAACAAGCTGTTAACAGGGCAGGAAATAAGAAATTAAACATAATTTGCAATAGAGGAAGTATAAACATTAGATGACTCTTTACAGGAAGCGTTTAGGAAGGCTGTACAAGTCACATGTAGAGAGGTGTGACTAGGGCTGCATAAACAAAGTGATTTAACTCTTAAATGGCAGAGAATTGAGCAGTGAGACTACAGGGGGCATGATCAATAAACCAAAACTTCTTCATTAAGCTAAACTTGTTTTGGAGACTGTAGGGTCCCTTTATGGTGTTGCAACCAGGGAAAAAGAACCATAACTATAAGATGGATACTATGGTCACTTTTATTTTAAATGAAAAATAAAGACCGAGCAGCATTAACAGTGGTATATATTCATAACCCCTTATCCTTGCTCCAGATCCCGAGCAGAACATGACTAGCAGACCACTGGGGACCAGCTAATACCAAATATTATTGTTAGCTTGTGCCATTCTGAATGGCGCTTTTTTTTTTTTAACGCAGATCCCCTGTAAAGGGCCCCTTCCAAATAAACATGCAGGAGCCTTGGGTAGAAATGATAAGCTAATGGCTGTCATACTTTGCTGAAAGGTTGGTTTTTACAGCATGCTCTCGCTGTCTCTGCCAAGTAAGAGGTTTTGTGTGTGGTAGAATGTAAATGTTGATGACTAATTCTTGTTCGGTGGCAAAATGACAGTACGCCACCTCATTCCTAATGTAATCAAGTGGCTGAAAAAAAAAAAACAAGAAAAAAAACAAACCACTGAAATGTAAGCACCTGCTGTTGCCCACTGAGCAGCATGCAACCATAACGTTAAATTTTTATAGCTTGCTAGCAATTCTATAACATTTCATTTGATCTGTTTTTATGTGAAGATTTTTGGCTTCAAAGCAGTTTGAGTATGTTGGGGAAACAAGTTTAAAAAAATGTATCTGATTTATTTTTTTAAAGTTTAGATTTTAGAAGTCAATCACAGTCTGCTTCATAATCAATTAAACGATATCTCTGGACGGCAACTGGCCCAACTTTAAATTTTAATGCATTATATAAATATATGCTATTTTTTTGGTCTGAATTTTAGAATGTAGAAATCCTTTTTCCTGAAACGGAGTGTCTCCATTTTGGTTCTCTGTCAATCATTGTTATAAGCTTTGACCTTTGTATTGAGAGCGCTTAGAGAGGAGGAGAAACAATTTTTTTTCCCTCTTCCTCCTCCAAAGCCATATGTGCCATGGTTATGCCAGGATTGAACTTGTTTGTGATGTCAAGTGGTAAAACTTTATTATACATTTAAAAGAAAGCATAGCATCCCATGAGAAAAACATAAATTTGTGGGGTTTTTTTTTTTTTTTCCAGCGGTTTAACATTTCCAATTTATAATGTCCTGAATTTGCAACTTCCTTCAATACGCTTTGCTCAAACTGGCAGGTAATTTAATGCTCATCTGCCACCCCAAGCTTAACCCATTGCTTCCCAGGGGTATATATAAAAGAAGCGCGTAACAGCCACATCATTTTAGATACCTATAGAAGAGGCTGTGGTTAGTAAGTTTGTCAACAAAAGGCTGGTCTTGACCTATATGTGTGTGTGTGTGTGTGTAGCCCACCAACACAAGAAAGGTTTAATCTGGAGGTCCACCAATCAGGAGCTTATGGGTCAATACCGTTGTCTTATTAGATGTGGCCATGAGTTTAAGCGTATTCTGGGAATTCTCAACTTATTGGTTTTTAGGTGGTCTACTCCATCTTATTGCAACTATATTAATTTAATCTGTTCAGTTGAGTAAATGTAAGATCTAAAAAAGCCGGTACATATCAATTAGCTCACTTGTTTTTGTGGCTTACTCTCTTGCATTTTTCCAAAATCTGTTTGTTTGGAGAATTCATATTTTATTCTCAATAGTGAGCTCCTTTCTTCAGAAATGTGTTGCCATACAGGGGAGTTTGTAATGTTTTCTCTAGGGAAAGACTGAGTAGGTCTTGAACACGCATATTTACAACATATTACTGAAAAGAGTCAGTGTTTGACTGTGGGTGTATTCATACGAATATTTCAGATTGGAGAAGTAGAAAGCGCAGAGTCTGCTTTGGACAATGTGAAGAGAGAATACAGAAGGGCATGTGGTGGACAGCAATTTCTGCTCCCTATCTGCTCTATGAAATATGAAACACAGTCCAAATAGGATCTAAACAGTCCAGGTTTATCAGTAATCCTGTTGGAACATGGTTTGATAATGCTGAACTCCTGGCCGCCATATAGTTATGGTTTGGAAAACTCGAAGTTAAAGGCCTACTTCATTAAAGGCCACGTTGGTTCAAGAATAGCCCCCCAAGGTAATCATCCTCTTGGAGTTACAAAACTTCAGGAGACACGGCAGTACTTCCCGTTTGGAAACAGAAGGGCTGCAAGATTATTGCTAGAGTCTACTTGGTAAATAACCGCACCAGAATCTAGTAAAAATGAGTATTAAGGCCTTTTAGCCTGTACTGCATGTGAACGTAATATCCCAGCCTGTCGGCTAACTGGATCAGAACATGCAATGTATGGCATAGACTTACCAGCCTTGTTGGGAAATAAAGAGGTGTTGTCAACAATATTACCTCTAAAAATGTCTAATGTACTTCAAGAATGACAAACTATAAGTGTTCGATACTCAGTTACTGTATATAGGTAGCCAGTGATAAAATTGCTGCTGCTGGGTTCTTGACAAGGTCACATTTTAAATGGAGTCATTATACAGACACCTTAATGACGTATTTCATTGTTTTCAAAACCTGTTCGATATTACCTGATAAAAGTTACTGTAAGTTAAATATAAACTATATTCACGGTGGACCTTGACACAAAGTTAGATTCACACAGCCCCAGAGACCTGATCCATTAGAATCTTGTCTATGATAATGTTCTGTTATGTATTTTGTAAAGGACAGAGTATTTATTTTTTTTCTTTTTAAACCAAAATCCTTCCCCTTCATGGGTCTAGGAAGGGATTGTTCGGGAAGTCCTCTCCCTTTTCTGTGGCGCTTCCTTTTGGATACGTAAACAAGAAGTGAGGAAAAGCATATTGGATTGTAACAGATTGTCAGCCTTGAACTTTAATCTTTTGAGTGCCAAAGGTTTGCTAGCCCTGTTTTGACATGTAAAAGTTAACTGCAGAATTGCAAATATTCTAATTTTTTTTTATTTTATTTTAAATTATTACTAGACATGGTTTTTTTTGGCTGATATCCCTACTAACCCCTAAGTTCTGCACTAATCGGCCAGTGAAAAGTGTAAATATGCATGTGACAGGAGCATATTTATATCTGTATGATCTATCTAATATACGTGATCTGCATGTTACTTCAACTGGCAAATCATATAATGCATGGACAGTGATTGATGTGAGGTGCAGGGCAGCACCGGGACAACGCCTACTGGACTACTCAAGATTGCTGGGAGTTTTAATTCATTTAATTCAGTCCCTGTTGCTTTAGAATGTGCTAAGAGAGGATCTGAGGAGAGGATTGCACGGTCTCTGTCTCCCCAGTTTCTCTCCAAGGATGTTGAGGGTGAATTAAGAACGGCAGACACATATAGCAGCATTGCACCAGGTGTGTAAACTGCAATATTGGGCAGGCCATGACCTGTATATGTCGGTGCTGTATTCTGATTGAAGGAACAATTTGGGCACCATAACAGCTTCATCAAAATAAAGTTGTTATGGTGCCAGAAGGTCCGGGCGCTTATAATCATTAGACGTTACACCATTAACAAACGGTTTAACGCCAAAATCGGTCCTGCAGCACAGGATCGCTCAGCCTCTCCATACTTCCACTTTCTGAAATTCAGCAAACACAGAAGGCTCAGGCAGCACAGGACAGGGACACAGGTGACTGGCTTTGAGTGGTCTGCTGACGCTTTTATCTATGCGGTTGTTCCCCGTTCATAAAAACTACTTTAAAAAGGTACGTGAACGGTTCAACCTCTAATGGTAAGGAAGGACCAGCGACCTCCTGGCTCCTTAATGACTTACTTTCTATGATGTTGCTATGGTGCCTGGGGTATTCCTTTTAAAGATATTTTACCCCTAAACCTAATTTTAAAAAATAAATACCAAATAAAACATTCATTACCTAAAGGCAAAATGTTTTTGGGAAAATAAGTCCGTACAAATGGTCAATGAACATTCAGGTGTACTTATTTTAACCCCTTTATCTACTTTTTGCCATACGTTGGATAATTTTTTTGTTTTGTTTTTCATATATATGCCAATTGATAATGTTCAGGAGATTACTTTGGTCTGCCTTTATGTGCCTGAAAAGCCAGTAAATAATTTCTCTATATCCTCTTTAAGTTCCCCCATCATTTTATCAGATTCTAGAAAGCCAGAGTCCCTCATGAAGTGTTTTCAGGTCTCGCAACATTTTTTCACTCTTTACATTATCTCAGCAAAAAAGGAAATTGCAGATCCACCCCAAACAAGCCTTGCTCTCCCTGCTGAATACATATCACGTGTGGGATTGAACGTGATGTGTAGCACTCTGATTTAAAACTTTTTATTTATTATGGTAAAATCTTGACCAAGAATTTGGGTCCAAGCACTGAAGTTGTTGATTCTCTCGAGTAACCTCTAAAAACCTCACATTTCCACTTATGCACTTTGTTTTTGCTCTGTCAAACCCTTTGCAACCCCATTACTGTTCCACAATCACACGAACCAAACGTTAGTCAATGAATCCTGTGTAAAGCAGGACAAGTATAGGCGAACTTAAAGTGGGCAGGCCAGTGAAACGACCTATATTTTACCACAAAACAAAGAAAACATTCATCAAAGTAATTCCTGCTTTGTTCTATGGGTATACTTCGATGATGCTGTAATTTTGATCAAATATTTGCAGAATGTGTGAGGTATAATCCATAGATGGTGGAAACATACCTTCCAATATTTCAACTGTGAGTATTAGTGCTGCGGAGCTTTGTTAAAACTTAGAGACATTGACGATACGTCCTAGAGGGGTGTTAGGATGGGAAAGAGGGACTGTGCACAAAATAGGTACACTTGGGGGTTACTACTCCTTAAATTATCTCCATAGTGTATTGGGTAAGTGTAAGGAAACAAAGTCTATTTAAACCTCATTCGGTAGTTTCCTCCCGAACTGCCAGAGCCTTAGTGATTATAGCCCTCCGTTCGGTAGATAAAGTAGACGAACCATATAGTAATCCAAATAGCTTCACAAGATGATTCCCTTAGTGAAACACACGAATCCCCAAACATCAGCCGAAGTCAAGAAGAAGGGTACGAAATGAACTAACTTTTAATGGTCACACAGGCTTTTATGCAAGTCCCCATGCAAGGGGACATCCCTCAGGGAGGGACAAACATTAACCAATCACATACTGTAAAACCATAACACACACCCACAGTTCCCTCCCCTAGCTCTGGACATAATTAAGTCTGAAAAGAAACAGAGCCCCTTTAATATTTCCTGCTTTGTGAATAATTGGTACAATAATGCTTGACGCCTAGGTAATGTAGACATATTAACAATGTGATTCATTTATCTTTTGTTGCCGGTGTATTGTTCACCATAACCTCCAGCTCATACATCCTGGTAATTATATTTATTTGTGTGTGTATAGATATCTCATTCAGGACATGCTTTGATTAATTTTGCAGCATTGTTTCTCAAAGCAAAAAAAAAAAAAAAATTGTAATGTTACTGATTTATGATTTTGTTTTAAGTTACATTTTGGTTTACTTATCTAGGTACTCGTACTTTGGTAAGAAATAAGGAATCTTTTTGACGTACTGTTTTTTTTCTCCAAAATAAATTATGGTTATTTAACATTCTCAATCTATTGTTGCATTCAATCCGTTGCAAGATTCCATAAAAGGGTTATTATACAGATGTTGCTTTTTGTTTTTTCTGTGTGAGAATGGGCTGACAAGTGATGTAACTTGTCCACATCTTTTCTTGTGCCTTTCAAACTTGTTTTTTTGTTTTGTTTATTGATTTGCTTTCAAACCCTGGCCCGATTCAGTAATGAGGCTGTTTACCTTGAGCCATGCTATATCTCGTATTACATTGCGAAATGAGGACTTGGATTAACTTATCTTGTTACAGTTGTCAGAAGTCATTTAACGCTGGATTGGGAATGCTTTGCATTCAAAGGGGTTCTCAAGGCTCCACCACCATTACAAGCGCTTTTTTTTTTTTTTTTTTAAATTTATAACACGTATGTGTAATTTTTCTCCAAATCATTTTATTTTATTAACAGTTTGACAAACACCATTTGATTCTGAGTACTCTTAACCAACCCCATAATAATAATAATAATAATAAGAAGAAAGTTTAACTACATCCAAATTTTTGTACAGCTTGAAAATCGTTTGCTGAAAAAGAAGCGGACTACACCCATAACCTCTTAGCACCATAACAACTGTAAAAAGCTGAAAGGGTTATAATGTTTGGAAAGTCCCATGTCATGGTGTAAAAGTGCTTTAGATTTGTAATCCATTTTCATTACGTGCCTTTGAGTTACACACTTTGTTTTACTAACTCTGCTTAACACTATGCCTTTTACTTCTGAATGCCTCAAACTTGGCCAGGAATCATTTAAAAAAAAAAATGCCATGATCATGTCTGTCATATCTTAGAAATGCCAAAAACTGCATCCTGTAATCACACTGCACAATAAGTGGGGGGGGGGAGGGTGGGGGAGAGAATCTGTGTTGTCACATTTCCAGCAAAAACGTCTTAAACTTATGTTACTATACAAAGAAGTATCGAAGAAACAAACAAAAAAAAGGAATAGATCGATCTGCTTAAAGGAACACTATTGTGTTAGGAATACAAAGATATATTTCTAACACTATAGTGTCCCTTTGCTCCCCTATCCTTTCCCTCCTCAGCCCCTCATGTCCAATCGATCGCCGAATCCTGTCGCTTCCATCTCAAACGGAAGGGATCTTCAACACAGACAAACAGGGGTTGTATCCCAGGATACTTGGGAGCCCAAGTGCGGGAACGGGGGGTCGCTGTACCTTTGTCTCCCAAGTGTAAGAAGGCTGCCACTCTGGCGAGGGGTTTCCCACACAAGACAACAGGGGGTCTTCATCCCAGGAGCCTTTGTGCCTGGGAGCCAAGGCGTGGGAAAGGAGATTGTCTGCCAAACTAGCCAGTGCCCCAAGTGTGTTCCCACCAACCTCTGGAAGCCCTCACAACGGTGCATTCCTCGACCAGCCTCCGTTCGCAAGGTTCCTGTGCTGAAACCATGCAAGGGAAGTGTCTCCTTTCAGGATACGAACACTCCCCCTGGTTTGCGTTCGTCTATACGAAATGGCGGCCACCAAGGGGAGCACCCATTAATTACTTCCCTTGCAGTTTCGCACTTATGTTGCAAGCGCGAACATTCTAATTAATTGGTGTAAGTGTTCTAATGGGGCACTGGGGTCGTCCCTATTCGGGAGACGAATAGATTCTGTTCATATGTCTGCTCCCGAAAGGGGAATGTAGTACAGCACACAAAAATCAATGGGAAACCAAGGTGAAAACACACAAGACTAAGGGGAAAACATACAAATAAGTGGTTCTGCCACCTATCCTATTTCATTACCCCTATTTATACCTTTTGTGTCACTATACCCCACTCCCTCTAGCATGTAATCTCATTGAGCAGGGCCCACAACCCCTCTGTTCCTGTGCGTCCATTTGTCTGATTACAATTACGTGTCTGTTAGTCCACCCATTGTACAGCGCTACGGAATTTGCTGGCGCTATATAAATTATATAATAATAGTAAAAAAAGACGTCCACCAATGTCCTCCTGCAATGCGGCAGGACGTCCAGTGTATTTTTCAAGGAGTTAAACTCTGTGAAACTGCAGAAAGCACCTCTAGTGAATGTCTTGGCACTGCAATGTAAAAATGGGGGGCAGGAATACTGCACCCAGACCACTTCAATGGGATGAAGTGGTCTGAGTGCCTAAAGTGTCAGTGAAGCCAGCACTATTTTAAATAAAGGTGACTAATGATAAAGGTGGGCTTTTATTTTATTTTTTTTTATTTTTTTTTGGGGGGGGGGGGCGGTTTAGCTAATTTTAACATCAAAATGTTAGTGTTTAAATTCAAATACATATATTTATTATTGTTCTTTTAATCACTTCAACCTCAAATGGTGAAAGTGACCAAAGCTAAGCATCTTTAGGTATTCACCCCCAAAAAAACTTTTATCCAACTTGGGAAAATTTGGTGGGATTCCCCTCCTACAAGGACCCTGCTCGAAAAGGTCAACGTGTGAATGTTTCTCTCCCGTCCCATGTCTGTCCATTTCCTGGAAAATGCTGTACTTTTTTTATGGGACTTTTATCAAGTTGTGTAGTTTTCTTAACTGTAAGCCACAGTTGCTCTCTGAATATCTCATCTTGGGTAAAACTCAATGCCAAATTAGGTTCTTTCAAGTTCCTCCAAGACGTCTCTGAAGGTAACTTGGGATAATTTTTGGAAACCTACTTACACAAATTCTCAAATGTACTCAATTGTTGTGTTTTGTGTTGTTTTTTTGTTAGCAGAACAGGAACTATATTTCAGCCGTACCCAAGAGGCACCCTTCACTTTATAAATTTGGCCCAAACATAGACTTGAATATGAGATGTTCAATGGCTAAATCTCATACATGAATTTACGCTAAACCGGGAATTGGCAAATTAATTGCACGTTTTAAATTACAATTGCAGAACTGTAAAAATTCTTCACGGTGCCTGGTAGAAGCGTCACTGTCAACTTCAGGGCTCATCAACGGCTCCTCGTGCTTCCTCCTCCATGAGCCCACGTCACTGTACAACACTACCCTGCCTCTCACAGCTGTCGTGATGGAAGTTGACAAATTGTGATGGCAAAAGCACTGTTGATCAAGCATTATCAACGTAGTGACCATAAGACAAAGTGGTCTCTACTTTGTCATATGATCTTTTTTGATTGCATTCAAATTTCAGTGAAATTTCAACACAGTCAATATGAAAAAAAATTTAAGATTTTAAAGCGATATGACTGGAACTGCTTTAAGGGCACTTGAGTTTTATGTTTATCTTCTAAACTTTAATGCGTCATTCACTAAAGCTTGAGCTCTAAGAAATTGAGTGCAATTTAAGGCCACATTAGTCACAATCATGTGGCATTTATTCAATAAACTGAAAATTGGTGTAAAATTAACAAGTGTTGGTGATTTTTGGGCCAAGTTGGATAAATAGCGGAGTTGTAATTTAAAAAAAAAAAAAAAGTTGAAATACCAACACAATCAACGTGAGTCTTTCATAACGAGTTTATTATAATAAATCGGGGGTGACTGAAATTTCAACAATTCCAATGTTGGTAAACGGAGACCATACCGTATTAACCTCCTGCCATAGAGCTATTCTTTGACAACTATTTTTACCTTCCTACCAGCTAAGACTAATAATATATTTTTTAACCAGTGTAATATATTTTTTTTTCCATGGGATTTTTTCATTTTTTTTTTTTGTCTGCATTCACAGATTTTTTTTTGTGTTTTTTTTTTTAATATTATTATTTTCTTGTTTTATTTTTGTTTTTGTGAAATTTGTGCATTTTTTTTCTATTTTAATTTTTTTACTTGTGTAGAGCAGACTTCCAAAACTGTACAGTGGTGGTGGAACCAAAGACGGATGTGATGGATTGGATGTGACAATTCCTGTTGTTCGTTTTTTTTTGTTTTTTTTTTATCTGGCAGTCCTAGGGCAGGCATTACACAGCACTGAGGATTGAATTGCTGCCCAGAAAAGATTCTGATCTCTGTAGTCAGCACTTAACCAGATAAGGAAAAACTAGCAAATAAAACTGCAGTAAAGCAGGCCACTTGGAACATAACTGTAAAATCAGATTGTGTGTGTGCAGCTATACGTGTGTCGGAATCTTAACCTTTCCTGTACTCTCAATGTATAATTAACTGAACTTTTACATGAGATGAGATCGGACTTTGGTTCTGGTTTTACATGAAGGTGTTTTTGTGATTATATATTTAAAGGGGAAATATGGGCTGTATTATAATTATGGTGCGGTTGCGTATATTGTAAGAATCCGGCTCTTGCTATATCTTTACACAATGTTACACTGCTAGCAATCTATAGACTTCCTCCATTGTATTTGAGTCAGTGGGTTGTAGCCATCTGCCTGTCTTAAAGTGACAGATTCTCATTTCATCACCCATTTTGTATTGAAGCATCTACTGCGATGAATAGTATAGCAGAGGTAAGTTTAAAAAAAATAAAAAAAAAAAACACAAAAAATACATTTAACTCTGCTTCATGTGTCCAGGGAAACATGCTGACCCTGTGATGCTACAAGCATGTTAATGCATGCTTTGCCATCATAGGTGTCCATTCTATATTGCTTGCGGCCCCTGCGGGTATAGCACTGCAGGAGTTAAACTAATTTACAAAGCAAAGTTTAGCTTAAAACAAGTTATCAGGTTGTGCAAATAGCTCTCAATTTCGCTTTAATATGCAGCGATGAAATGAGTCTCTTTATAAACTTTATGTGCGCTGTGTGCTCACATGCCAGAGGATACTTTAAAAAATAAAAAAAACATGGCTAGCTTGTACTAGATTTCCCCCAAAAACCATCAAAAAATCCATAACCCCTTAACATACTACATCGCTGTGCATGCTGTGTAGTTTTTAAATGATACTACAAAGGAATATGACGTTTTTCCCCACTCCTCGCCGATCAGTTACTCTGTGTAGGTTACAAGATTGGAGCTCTTGGTGTCCCTGATTGAAAACTTTGTTACTAACTTGTCAATTCCCCTGAGTACACAATAATTTGTTATCTTGGGCTGTGGTTTGAATTTATAACCTTTTTAGGAACTCCAGCCAGGGGTGGCGAAACTGTTTAAAAACACAAAAACCACAAACCATCATGTGTAAAAACTTGCTTTCAACGCATTTCTCTTTTTTATTTTTTAGGATGCACTGTAGAAAAGTTTAAGGAGATCATTACTACCAATCCCGTGTTATGTCTCTCTTTTGGACTGTTGACTTGTAAATTAAGTAGATTGCAATGCTCCCAGCACATGTCCAACAATTCCTTGTTGCAGTGTTTCAATGATTTTAACATTGACAGCCGAACTGAAGAATTCCTTCAACGCCACTATTTTGCCATAAACTGTGCAAATTTGTTTGTGTTGATCAAATTGCTTCCCTGCAGCACACCATTTCTCAAATAAACATGGTTAGTAGTGCGTAACAATCACCAGTATTTTTAGCATTTCCATGTTTCTTGAGTAAAGAATAGGTTTTTATTGATTTTATAACTGATTTTCTTTGAAGTACCCACTGACTTCACAACATGTTATCATACTCTCCTGTACTGCCCTGCAACTTACTTTCTTCAGACCCTCCTTTTGCAGTTTGAAGACCAGACTCTTGGGGAACAAAATGTAAGGAATATATAGCGTTAAAATTTAAGAGTGTATTCCTAACGCTATAGTGTTCCTCAAGAATAAAGCTATTGTCTGCCTCCTCAACTGGGTGTTGAAACAGTAAAAAAAAAAAAAATTTGAACACTTACTTCTTTAGAGCACCTAGTTTTTTTTTATTTTTATTTTTCACGCGCTTATCGATCACAATTCTGACTGTCATGAAGAACTAAAAACGATAATAATCAAAGCCGTGGTTACTGAAACAGGTGTCTATAAACTTACCGCTGTCTTCAAAAAATACTCAAAGTAATTCTAATTGCTTTTGTATAACAAGGATGTAAGGGAATGATGGATAACTTTTGCATTATAGGTATTTGTGTGATCTACATTTTTTTAATGATAATTTGACAACCAAGGTTTCTAATTCACGTACATATCTTTCTTAATTATTTGTCATTCTCAAATATGGTAGGGGGTGTGGAGCATTGCAATGGAAACTACAGGAATGATTTAATGGTGTTCTGTAGAACGTTGCACCACTTTCTGCTTGTGTGTTAGTGTCACTTTCATTATCTCCCACACTGTCTTTTTCAAACTGTCTTATTGTGTGGAACAGTATTTGATTGTATAGTTGTGTTTTAACAAAAATAACTAAATAGCTTAAAAGGACACTATAAACACCCAGACCACTTAAGCTCATTGAAATGGTCTGGGTGCTGCTTCCCTGTCCCCCTAAGTCATGCAATGTGAATCATTGCAGTTTTTAAGAAACTGCAATGTTTATTTACATCGCAGCAATAAGACAGTCGCTAGGGGCGGTCTACCAGACAGCCACTAGAGGCGCTTCTGGGCGTTTAACGGACTCTAGGTTGCCTACTTGATGCTAGATGTTCTCACGATCTGAAGCAGTGCTTTCCTATGGTGAGGGCCTAAAGTGATCGCTGCACATGTCCCCCCGTTGGATTGCGTCGGAGGAGAGAGAGTGAGTAAATGTTTTTGTTTTTTTTGTTTTTTAACCCTTTTATGTGCCGTGGTGGTTGCTGCGAGGAAGAGGGTGACCAGATTTGTATTCCTAAGACTAAAATCCCTTTAAATTCCTTTACAATGCTATGTGATTTATTTATTTTTTAATGTATTTTTATAACCGTCTTAAATAAAATGTCCAAAATATGTTTGATAGGGGAATTTGGTGGTGCAAGACTTTGAAAGAGGAAGGGGAAAGAGAATATTGGCTTCCCCAATTCTGCTGCAAATAATATGTGTACAGAAGATCCACATGGGAACTGTGAAACAAGTAATTCTGAAAGGGACCCTCCAGGGTTTACACGAACATATTACACACTCTTATTCAATGACCAATTTATTAGGGACTCTTGTAGAGTAGGCTAGGGTAGTGGTTTTCAACCAATGTGTTTGTGGCTTTAGGTATCTAAATGGTTAAATGTGGTCCTCAATGGGACACTATAATCAACAGTTGAATGTAGTAGTTCTGGCGAGTATAGCCAGTCCCTGCAGGGTTTTACATTACAGCCTAGTGACACCTTTGGTGAATTGATTCAATGCATCTCTGAGGAGAAGTTGACTGGCGCAACATAGTGTTTTGGCGCACATGCGCAATAGTCTCCCAATTATTTCCTGTGGTGAAACATTGGATTGGCTGAGATCGTCAAGATTGATCTCAGCCATGGAGGTGGGGCCAGCCGATGTGTCACCAGCACGGCGTGGAAAAAAGGGGAGTAAACACCTTTCCCATTTGATTGGAGGGCGGCAGGTCACCTAAACATTCACACAGACATACACTCACTGACCGTGAGACTCACTGATGCACATACTCACTGACAGACACACACACTCTCACTGACTGACAGACACACACACTGCTCCATCGGCTCTCAATGAGCCAGCCACCTCGGGGACTGAACTGGGTGGCCTGGGATTTGTCGAATCCCTGCCTTAATTGCATGTTTTTTGCTCAGTAATTGTATATTTTAAATGATTTTTTTTTTTTTTTTAAATGAGTTTTCCTTTTAGCGTGAATACATTCATTTTCTTAGCTGGCTATTGGGAAGTGAAATAAAATGTGTAAACAGCATTGAAATGCAGCGGCTGAGGATTATAAAAAAATAAAAATGAAAAATCCGTTCATTTAAAAAAAGAAAGTGTCTTTTAAAGCCTTGTAGTTTTTTTTTTTTTTTTTGCACATTTATTATTTTCTGCTGTCTAATTTTGTTATTTCATCGAAAAGAAGTGAGAGCCAAATGCCAAGAGTTCAAATGACAGAACAATGGGGAGACTGAATAATATTTAAACGCAAAATAACTTCACATGCTGAAATGGAGCAGTTAATCCTAAAAAGCTAAATCTCCCTGGAGTTTAGCCAGGCTAACCTTCAGATTTTGAAGGTCATTATATCTTCGTGACCTGCACTATTCTGGAATCTATTTTTCCAGGCATAATTTGAACTGTCACCCAAACAAAAAAAAATTTTTTTTCCCTCCTGATTTAAAAAATTCAATTAAATAAAATGAAGAAAAAATATATATATATATAATGTTCGAGCATCTATCCCAAGATGCTTTTAGAGACAAATCTTCATGGAAAAAATATTTTGCACAATTTCAGTGACATTCAAGAGCTATCAATTTATATCATGAGACTACTTTGTCTACTAGGCAAAGCTGTGGTTGACAAAAGTCGGAGCTTCTGCTGTGAACTTTAGTTATTTCCGAGCAGTCGTTGCTACTGCGGCTCTGGGAAAAGACATTTTCTTGGAGTTCTATGGAGGATCCCCAGGGTCTAAAAATAAAGAGGTCTTCTGGAAGAAGAAGCCAAAAATGGGCTCCATAAGGAAGATGGTGGCCCAACGAGGGAATGTTTCAGGTAAGTACATATCCATTAGCCTTTCTCACCAGTTGCCATATATTACGCAGGCATTTCATCTTTGAGAGTCTTTGCGAAATATGCTAGGACCCTGAAAATGAAAAGGCTGTTATGAAAGGATTTTCTGTTTTGGGTTATTTACTAAATAGGGAACCTTGGAGAATTGACAAGGAAATGCCAAAATAGCGGACTTATTTTCAAATTTTGACTATTTTGGCCTAAATTTTAAATTTCTTGTCAAATCTCCACAGCCTAGTGAATAACACCAGTGTGTATATCTTTCTTTGAATGTGCAAGCCTTGGCATACCAGCTCTTTTGGAGTGTTTTTCCACAGTCAGAGTCTGTCCATGTAAATATTAACAAGAACCAACAGGCATCTTAGAATGAGTGAATCATCTTATTATTCAGTTATTTGATCAACAGTTAAAAGTGCTGATCCACCCAAAGAAAGCATAAAATCCTGCATTCTAGAACAGGATTAGACCTTTAGCGTTCCAGGTCCCATGAACTAAATCTCCCTTCTGGTTGGCACAGTTTTAATGTGAGATGTAGTCCATAGCATATAAATATTGTCTTGCTCTGCTCTAGGCTACTAAGCACACAAAAAAATAATTTGATGTTTTCTCGGGTGTTGTAAACCCTTGAAAACAACACCCATTTAATTGTTAATATCTGCTGCTATGGTAAAAAACGGTCACCATGTTGCAGTTTAGTCTGTGTTAAATGGCTGTAGGCTAGAATTTGTCTGCCCTAGCAAAAATGTGAATGTAATTAAAATGTTCTTCCTTGGATGGTGACAGCCCAAGCGTCCTAAATTGTGGAGTAAAGTTCCTTTCAAAAAGAGGTGGTAGAATCAGACTTAAATATGCTCCACACTCTCTAGTTCCTTCTGTACACTACTCCATTCCTATTTTGTCTTCCAGGAGAAAGGTGGATTTGCTGAAGCTCTGACCTTTGGACCTGTGAATCTTGGGTTTGGTTTCTTTGGGTTACCAGCTGGGCTTTCAACTCCACCCTCCAAGGGACTGGTTCATGATGTTCACTGTCTTCTCAAGGCTCTGGCCTTTCTTGCCATGTGGCTGACTTAGAAAGTTCCTAAATTTGGTTTGGAACCTGTTTAAGAAGGAGTTTTAACCTGAAAGTGATCCCAATGTTTCCAGACAACATGGCCACTCTGCCTCAGTTCCTGGATCCAACTTCTACACCAGTGGTAGACTTAGTGTCAGCTTACTCTGTCAGACTATCACTGGTCTTCCATTAGAAACATATGTAAATACTAATGCATTTTACACAGACAAATAGGCTCCCAGCTGGCTATTGGTAATGGGATTTACCACAACAGCCCTGTTTATTCTATTTTTTCCATTTGCTTAACTGTTTCTATAGTTTGTGTAATTAAATCTCATTAAACTTGATTAGATAAAAACCTATTGAACATGTTTATGAGAAACATAAACCAGTGTTGCTATATTAGACAATAAGAATAAGTAAATTAAAAAGCTTAAACTAGTTCCGAAAGATGCCACATATACTGCAACTAACACTTTCAAACAGACTCTGAGAAACAACCCACTTTGTAAGGGATATTGACGGGAAGCTTGTCTGGGGATGTTATTTTAAAGGACTACTCCAGGTCCCGTAGCAATGCCTATGAAGTCATTTATAAGGTCCTGGAGATCCTAGGATCTGTCTCAAAAACGGTTTAACCTCAAAGTTGTGTTCCCAGCCCCTGTCAACTCGACCCCTCTGTTTTCTTGTCCATCGTTGGCTCGGAAGCTTTTACCTTGGGCACTTGGAACATTGTCAGTCTATCGCTGGCCACTCATTGAGAGAAATGCTTTAGACATGCACATAATTTTGAGACAGTCTTAAATGGACACTTTGCACCGTAACCACTACAGGGTATTGTAGGATTTGTTCTAGGGTGTAGCATTCTACATATGTGAAAATATGTGCACTTGCAGATTGTTACCACCTAAATTTGGACCTATTTGTATCATACCTCCCAACAACGGCCTTCTCAGAATTGGGACCCCGATGGGAGGGGAGTCGTCTCATCAGCGGTGCTATCTTATCACTGACTCTGCCCAAAATGGGCAGGACCACCCAGAAATGGGGACGTGTCTGCCCATATTACTGGCAGGTCAGCCTGGTGTGAATATACACCAGGTTATCTGCCCATCATGCAGACCGCCCACAGTGTGCTGACCCTGCAGGGTTTTAGTGCCCTAAACACAGTGCAAGCGCATCTAATGATGTGCTCACGCTGTAATTATTGGAGATTACTTCAGCTGAAATTAAGATGGTTGTGAGACATGTTGTATGGGTAATGCAGAAGTGAATCTTCTGTATTTTATTGGCAGCATTAGAGGGAGTGTTCTTTGGGTGCCAGGAAAACCCTGTTTGTTTGTTTTTTGACAAACCACTCAAACAGGGCAGATTCTCAACACCATAGCCATTGCAATCTACTGTAGTGGTTATGGTACTTAGTATACCTTTAAGGTTAAGTCTTGATGTTGAAAGTCCTTCAACCAAGACTCCTACGTGACGGTGTTCACGTTGTAAAACATTATCACTGGGACTACTAAATTATCTAGTCACGAAGGTTATTTTAGGTCACCGTGGAATTTTTTTTTTTTTTTCACGCAGTATTGTCATATTTGCGTTCTCTCGTTCATCGCACATCGATAAAGAGAAAGGAGCTGGATTAATGGCAGTACCAGCCTGCAAATAGCCGCTGTAGCCCTGTGGTGCTGTTGATGCTAATCTTGGGCAGACCAGGAAATATATGTACCAGTGCTGTCATAAAATTAGGCTTCACGCACTGTACCATGTCAATCACCCTGCGTTGTGGGTTTATAATGTACAGTGCGATGTAACTCACCATGTAGTACAGCACTTGAAAACATGCTCTGTCTTTTTAAAGAACAGTCAGGTCGTGCTATTAAAATATATAGTAGCTGCTCTGTTTGATTAAATTTGCCAAGTTCCAGTTAACCTGTAATAGTTTTTGTTGATAATTTTTCCACATGTTTTTATAAAGCTGATTTTGTTTTAAGTGCAGAATTGTGTTACATTTAGAACCCAGATTTCTCGACCGTTATGCACACTTGTAAGGACCTAGAGACCTTGGATGTTTATGAATTATTGCTGATAGCTATCAAAATCAATACTTTTTTTTATTTTTTCCTTTTTTTTTTTCTCAAAGAGACACTCTTGGCATCTTTAATGCATGTTGATGTGTATGGTGAAACCCGCTTACTTTGCTTAAAATGCGCAGCGGATGTAGTAATAGATAATTCATATAGGTGGTAAAAAAAAAAAAAAAGCAGATTTTAGTTTCTTCTTCAACTTCTATTTTAAACATAACAAACAAAAATAAACATAATTATATTATTTTTATTTATTTTATTTTTTACAGATTTTATTGACCATTTCAGCGGTACAGTACTTGGCATCAGTCAGTACAGGGTGAAGAGGCTCTTGGACGTGTAATATGTAGTCAAAGTAACTTCATTTATAATACAAAAATAAGCAAGTGAGACAGAAAAACAATAAGAAAAACACTGGATAGAAATGGCAATGTTTCACATTTGAAAACAAACTCAAATGTATTCAAATGTTACAAAGCCTTACTCGTAGTGTCAGGTACATATTACCAGGGATGTTAAAGGGATTCTCCAGTGCCAGGAAAACATTTGTTTTCCTGGCACTGCAGGTTCCCGCAGTGCCCCTCTCCCTCCCACCCCCCCCCCATCCCAAGTTGCTGAAGGGGTTAAAACCCTTCCAGTGACTTACCGGAGTCCAGCGCCGATGTCCCTCGGCGCTGGGTCAGGCTCCTACTCTCCTGTCAACGTCAGCCGGCAGGGGAGACCTAATGCTCATGCGCAACACTAGAGGAGGACTTAACCCTGCAATGTAAATATTGCAGTTTATGAAAACTGCAATAATTACACTTGCAGGGTTAAGGGTAGTGGGAATTGGCACTCAGACCACTCCAATGGGCAGAAGTGGTCTGGGTGCCTGGAGTATACCTTTAACTACGATCGAGCAGGGATGCCCAAAGTGGGTCCTGGTATTGTGCCAGAGGTATATGTGTAGGGCATATTATGGTGCTTAGTGGTATTAATGGCCCATGGATGCCAAATGTTTGAAAATGTGGAGTGAGGGTTTAGGGAGAGAGTGGTTAGCTCCTCCAAAGTTTTGATATCCTCAACTTTGTTTCTCCATTCTGTTATGGAGGGTACTTGGGGTGATCTCTAATGAAGGGGTATGACGGATTTAGCTGCAAGCAGTAAGAATGATAGGCAAGATTAACATTGTTTGGCAAGAGGGGGTTTTCGTATGGAGGAGAAGTATCTCTGCAGGGCAAAATATTATTAGTACATGTACAGTACTGGGAACTATCCACATAATCCAGGTGTCCCTTTAAGGTGTGGGAAGTCTTCTACTTCATCAGCTTGTTTTTAGGACATATATGGTACATTGTAGCCAAACTTGGGGACTTTGCTATATTGGTTAGCTGGAAAATGCATCCTTCCTGCTCCCTCTAGTAATGACATCATTGTATGGGGCTGGGGAACATGATTGGAGAAGATGGGGTACCCAGGCATGATTACAGTGGCCTAGTATTTCTGCAAGTTCTAAATATTGAGTATAGTTCATTCAAGTGGCCACCTACAGCCCATGAACCGAAGATTCATATCATGTAATGTTTTGACGTTCACCAGAAGTTTATATACAAGTTCACGGCAGCTCAAACACAAAGGGAAAGTGTTGCACAGAAAGTCACATTCGCCACAAAACTCGAACACACACAGTCTTGTACTTTATCTCTTACTGCGCTATTTCCACACCTGGGTTTTAAAAACCAAGAAAGCATGAGCGTAAACAAACTGAGGATTTAGCTATTACAATTATTATTTTTTTTAAATGTATTTACGATCTCTATTCTGTTTGCATTTATTTGGAAATGTAGCATTTTGTCTGGAATATTGATTATTATTTCGTAGAGCTTCCTATCATAATGGAGGATTTGTAGAACAGTATTGTGCCGTTAAGCTGCCAGTGATGTGCATATTGTGGTGTACAGGGTAAAGTTCATTTTTCTATTTATTTTTTCTTACACGGCAGATGCGAGATACGTTATCATATGGAGGAGGCTGAATCCATGGCCAATGTGTGCATTTCTTAGAAAATCACTTCATAATAAACACTGGATCGGGTTTCATGAAGTTTTATGCGTTTGTTATTAACTCCTTTGTTTTACAACATTTAGTTCTTATTTTGACGTTAACTTAAGTTATACGTTTTGAACCAGGATCAGCATTTAGTCATATCTACTGTCTGCCTCTCTTTTATACTTTTATCGTGGTTGTCTATTTTAATGCAGACCAATAAGGTGCAACTTGTCCTCAACATGTGTTTTGACTACAGCGCTAACTTCTATTTCTAGCCCAGCTACCCCGAAGATGTGCAAATTGCTGACGGTGTTCTAGGATCATTCATATTCTGTGGAGCAGCGGTACCCAAAAGGTAGATTTCCCAGATGTATTTAAAACTACAGCATCCATGATGTTTTGTCATTTTAAAGCAGGTGGTTTCCAGTCCTCAAGGCACGCCTACTAGTCTCGATGTAAGGATTACCAAGTTGTCACTGTATTTTCTATAAACAACAACAACAAAAAACACCTTGACACAACTGGGTAATACCTAAATCCTGACCTGGTAGGCGTGCGTGGAAGACTGGTTTAGAAATAACTGCTCTTATTCATTCTAAAGGCGTGCAAAGCATCATGGGAGTTGTGGTTCTACAGCAACTGGGAAACTACCTTTTGGGCATCACTTCTTTAGAGAATGTCGTGTTGTAGAGAACTGGAAGTGTCTTGTCGTAGGGAGCAGGGATTTCACCGGAGCCGACAAAACACTTTTAGTGCATGATTGTTTTCTCTGTAACGGGTAGAATCACAGTCTTAAATACCGTTTTAGATGTGTAATTTGAACAAAAACTAGCTTGACTTGCCCAAAGATGTCATTTTTTTTGTCCATTTATGCAGAAAGTATGGCTGTCCTTTCGCACTCTGGTTGATGCAAACTATAGATTCTTGATTTCATAAATCCTGAAGAGTCAGATGTGATGTTGTCTACCTTTTGACCATCCTAGGTATAGAATGTTTAGAATTCATGCTTTGCATTCTAGATAATGTTGTCGCATCCTACCAAAGGACAATCCGAGCAGGTTGGGAGGCAATATATGTAGCTCCCATACTTCTCTTGCCATCAGGATAGAATCAGTAACAGAAAAATAGAACCCTGATCTCGAATTCCAACATTCTTTTAGAGTAGGCTTCTATTTTGCATTTCTAACTGAAACTGTCTTGTTCTGGAATACTGTAGCAGTCAGACCAATATATCCGGCTGTACTGGGACTAAACACCTCCGAGTTTACTAATGAAAGACGTCATATTGCTGGATGGAGGTCATTTATTCAAGGCTCATAGTTGCAGGGTCAAAACAGACTTTTATCCTTCCAAAGTCAATATATAGATGACTCGTGAGCTAGATAATGGGTAACATAAATTAATTAGCCACCATTTATGTTAGAGAGCTAAAGCTAAACTCCTAGAATCCCCCTGGCAAAAATAGTTATATAAATAGCTTTATTAGTGATATTATTGATGAATCTTGCCCAAATTATGTATTATATTAGAAGCCTGTAAAAAACTATGCCTTAATGTAACTATGTAACTTAATATAACTTTCCAAAATATGAATTATACACAGAGCGTGTATCCTGTAAATTATTGCAATCGTAAGGTCACAATAAGTATATTATTCAAATCAATATTGATCCCTTATGAGCCCTTTGTCCATTTCATTTTAGGAAAAGAAAATGCTAATCTCTCAGCCTTCAAGAGGACCAAGTGCCTTTATACCAGAAAAAGAGGTAAATATGTAATACTAGTTAATAAAAGAAATTAAATGACTAGTTCTTCTTTCTAGGTTTTAAATATTTAAATTTCTTAGCACTATATTGTTATAATTATATAAAATAAATATAAATGTTAAAAACAATAACCATTGGAGTATTGTGTTTCTATGTTAGTGAGTTATTGTAAAATTATTATTATTAATTAGCCATTGTAATAAAAAAATAAATAAAGTTTTGGTTTTCTTGATGCAAAATATTTTTTTTCTCTTTTCAGTGTATTACAGTTACTATAACAAAAAAGAGTTTATTTTCTGCTTGAAACCTGAATACTTCCATCTGAAAACAATTTCAAGATTAATGTTGCCAAAGATTTAAATATATAAATTTATATGGTTTTAATATAAAAATGTGCCTATATAACTATAGGGAGCGCCTGCCCCTCCCCCCACCCCCATATTGATAAGTTTAAAGACTTTTAAAAAATAACACTGTTTTTGTTAAGTTGGTAAATAAAGAAATTTATGATAAACCTCATGTAGGAGAAAAAGGCAACTGAATTAGAACAAATTTAAAATAAATGTTTTCATTAAAAAAATTATACTTTTTTTAATCTTGATCAGATGTAATATAGTTAATAATAATACTTGCACACCAAACAATTTCAAGGTAAAGTAGAATAATTTTATTGCATCAATCACCCAGGGGTGGTCTTACAAAATGCTACAAAAAAGTTTTGTTTACAGCCATTTAAGAGAACTATTAAAAGTTTGTGATAGTAAATTAATTTCTCATTGTGTGTCCTTAATTAATATATATTTATTGAAATATATAAAATGCATACTTGAATATTTTTTTTTGTTTTATAAATACCTCCTGTTTTGACATACTGTATGTATGCTAAATCAGCTTCTCCTTGTTTTTCTCTACATGTTATCCAAAATCCCATAGAAATTTATTTTGCATACTTGAAAACTATATATTTAAATGCCAGCTATTAATTTTTTTTAAGCAATCTGTTGTTATGTTTAACAAGATAAGGCACGCTCTGCAAAATGTTACCACCCATTTTAAATGCTTTATGCAGATAATATAGAGAGTAATTAAACAATAAAATGAGGAATAGTAAATATTTGTACACATTTTCTAGTTTGTGTTTAGCTGATAATGATTTTCGGAGTTAGTTAATATTCTCTCAAGTATCCCTTTAAGTTCATTCGTATGAAGTTATAATATGCAGATAAACAGGCTTCGGGGGGGAGTAGGGGGAGAGGATAGTTTTCAATGCCGTTGCTTCCATGCATTAATCCCGTCCACATCCCCTATATATAATAGCAGTTGTTGTTGGGGGATTCTATCATAAGAGGTGTGGAGATGGACAATGGTGGTCTTGTGAGAAGTCTTCCCGGAGCTACTGCTTACAGAGACAGGAGACGTATTTGTAATATTGTTAAGCGAGCAAAGCAGGAAGGGGAATTGGATGTACTTGTCCATCTAGGGACAAATGACTTGGCTTGCAATAAGGTTTCAGAGGTAAAGGATGTTTTTTGTGTTTTTGCCAATAATATACGGCAGGTTGTGTCCGCACTGTCATTCTCTGAAGTTCTGCATAACACTCAGAACGACCGGCGGATGCGTATTAGGGACTTTAACTTGTGGCTTGGTGAATGGTGTCGGGAGCAAGGATTTGGCTTAATTTCCCATGGTAGCTCTGTTTGGAATGGAAATAAACTGTACAAAAAACTTTCTCAAAAGGGAGCACATGTTCTCAGTAAGCAGTTTAGAGGTTTTGCTAGGATGCATTTAAACTAGGAGGATATGGGGGAGGGGAGTGCAAAATGATGATAAAACATCAATCCAGTTGCAAAACAAGGACTGAAGGTGCCTGTAGCAAGTGTGTTAAAAAATGCTAAGCTTAGAGTTATGTCTACAAATGCTCACAGTTTAGGGAATAAGATCTATGAACTTGTGGCAATAATGGCAACTGATAGTGTAGATTTAGTCGCTGTTACTAAGACCTGGTATAATGAGAAAATTGACTGTGACATAGCAATACCAGGGTACTCTTTATATAGAAAAGACAGGGAAGGCAAGAACGGGGGAGGGGTGGCCCTGTATGTGAAGGATAGCATAAAATCTAGTATAAAAGTTAGTGAGACGAAGATAGTCTGTTTGGTTTAGAATTAGGAAATCACACAGTAACTCGTGTAGGTGTGATTTATAGGCCCCCAGGACAAACTGAAGAGTTAGATAATCTACTAGTTGAGGAAATAGCCAAAATCATAATGAAGGGGGAAGTTATCATTATGGGTGATTTTAATCTTCCTGATGTGAATTGGAAAACCAAAATAGCTGCTTCTGCCAGGAGCACACATATTCTAAACTCCCTACTGAGATTATCTCTAAAACAAATCGTTAAGGAGCCAACTCGTAAAGAGGCCTTACTAGATGTAATGTTAACAAATGGAGATTACTGATATTACTGTAGGTGAAAGTTTAGGATCCAGTGATCATCAGTCAGTGTGGTTTAATATAAGAACAGTGACTGAGTCACACCACACAAAAACAAAAGTTTTAGACTTTAGAAAAACAAACTTTTCTAAAATTAGAATATGTGTAGAGGAGTCATTATCAGACTGAAGCAATTTAAATGGAGTCCAAGAGAAACTGGATTATTTAAAAGTTGCACTGCTGAAGGCAACAGAAAATTGCATTAGGCTTGTCGGTAAAAACAAAAAATGTCAGAAACTACAGTGGCACTCTGCAGATGTGGCCAAAATAGTACAAAATAAAAAGTTAGCATTTAGTAATTCCCAGAGTGGGAAGATAGACAGATCTATAAGATAAGGCAGAAAGAGGCTAAGCAAGTTATAAGAGCTTCCAAATCACACACAGAAGAGAACATCGCACATTCCGTAAAGAAAAAGGGGACAAAACATTTTTAGATACATAAATGAAAAAAGGAAAGTAAAACAAGGATTAGTTTAGATTAAAAAGATTAAAAACAAAAGCAGGAATGTATGTAGAAGATAAAGGTCTAGCTGACTGCCTCAATTAATATTTTTGTTCAGTATTTACAGATGAAAATGAAGGAAAGGGGCCTCAGTTAGGAAAAAGGACAAATGAGTAATTTGTTACATGTGAGTTTACAGAGGAAGAGGTTCTATTTCAACTGTCAAAAGTAAAGAAAAATAAGACAATGGGACCTGATGGAATACACCCAAAGTTATTAAAATAGATTAGTGGTGTACTAGCAAAACCATTAACAGATTTATTTAACCAATCATTGTTAACAGGAGTAGTCCCAGAAGATTGGTTAGCAAATGTTGTGCCCATTCACAAGAAAGGTAGTAGGGAGGAGTCGGGCAACTATAAGCCAGTAAGCCTTACTACAGTAGTGGGGAAAGTAATGGAAATCATGTTAACGGATAGGATTGTTGAACATCTAAAAACACATGGATTTAAAGATCAGAGACAACATGGGTTTACTTCAGGGAGATCATGCCAAACTAATCTTATTGATTTGTTTTGATTGGGTAACTAAAATTATAGATCAGGGTGGTGCAGTAGACATTGCTTACCTAGATTTCAGTAAGGCATTTGACATTGTTGCACATAGAAGGCTTATCAATAAACTGCAATCTTAAAGTTTGGATTCCAATATTGTTAAATGGGTAAGGCAGTGGCTGTGTGGCAGGCAACAGAGGGTTGTAGTCAATGAAGTATATTTGAAGCATGGGCTTGTCACCAGTGGGGTACCTCAGGCATCTGTACTTGGACCCATTCTCTTTAATATTTTAATTAGTGATATTGCAGAAGGTCTTGATGGTAAGGTATGTCTGTTTGCTGATGATACTAAGATATGTAACAGGGTTGATGTTCCAGGAGGGATAAGCCAAATGGCAAATGATTTAGGTAAACTAGAAAAATGGTCAGAATTGTGGCAACTGACATTTAATGTGGATAAGTGCAAGATAATGCATCTTGGACGTAAAAACCCAAGGGCAGAGTACAGAATATTTGATAGAGTCCTAACCTCAACATATGAGGAAAGGGATTTAGGGGTGATTATTTCTGATGACTTAAAGGTAGGCAGACAATGTAATAGAGCAGCAGGAAATGCTAGCAGAATGCTTGGTTGTATAGGGAGAGGTATTAGCGGTAGAAAGAGGGAAGTGCTCATGCCATTGTACAGAACACTGGTGAGACCTCACTTGGAGTATTATACACAGTACTGGAGACCGTATCTTCAGAAGGATATTGATACCTTAGAGAGGGTTCAGAGAAGGGCTACTAAACTGGTTCATGGATTGCAGGATAAAATTTACCAGGAAAGGTTAAAGGATCTTAACATGTATAGCTTGGAGGAAAGACGAGACAGGGGGGATATGATAGAAACATTTAAATATATAAAGGGAATCAACACAGTAAGGAGGAGACTATATTTAAAAGAAGAAAAACTACCACAACAAGAGGACATAGTCTTAAATTAGAGGGCAAAGGTTTAAAAATAATATCAGGAAGTATTACTTTACTGAGAGGGTAGTGGATGCATGGAATAGCCTTCCAGCTGAAGTGGTAGAGGTTAACACAGTAAGGGAGTTTAAGCATGCGTGGGATAGGCATAAGGCTATCCTAACTATAAGATAAGGCCAGGGACTAATGAAAGTATTTAGAAAATTGGGCAGACTAGATGGGCCGAATGGTTCTTATCTGCCGTCACATTCTATGTTTCTATATGTTCTACAAGATGAGTACATGTCTGTCATTTAAAGGGAATTTTCAGAGTCTTTTTAATGATCTAAATATCCTTGTGAACATTTGGGGAGATGGCTTGTCGATTGGGAACACGTGTACCGTTAAAATATAGAGGTCAACTTTCTTATGGACTGACTGAATGTGTGTGCGTGCGTGCGCGCGTGTGCGCATTTAGTCGGTGACGTCCAAAGGTGGAGGAGTGTCCCCAGCGCCGAGGGAGCCCAGCGCTGGAGAAAGGTGATTGTTTAACCCCCTTCCTCCAACCCTCAGGGCACTATAGTGCCAGAAAAACGAGTTTGTTTTCCTGGCACTAGAGTGGTCCTTTAAAACATATTTTTTTTTTTTTTTTTTATTATTATTTTTTTTTGTAATAAGAATAGAGTTGTGAATACTTTTGGACATGTTTTCAGTAATTTCAAGCAGCTATATGTTGAGGGTACACTTTCAGTCCTAAAGATAAGCTTGTGTGTATGTGTTTTGTTAATATTGCGTAACTGGATAATTTTTGACCTCCCCAGGTCAGCTTCTTGTTGATCTAGTAGAATGCAAATAGTGTGCCTCATCAAATCAAGGTATGCCTGGAAGGGAAGGTGTGTTTGTAATGGCAAATAGTAGTATAGTTAATTAAGTTCACGACCTGGCAAACCCCTATATTGAACTAGCACTTGGTAATTGGATCACCTGCTAGATTATTCTTTTCCAGAATAAATAAGATTGCATTTCGCGAAGCTGCAGACTGGCTCCTGAATAGTAATTTTAACTATCCATATGGAATTCTATCATGGAGAAGAGGGTTGGCACCATTGCTGCAGCAGGGATATGGCGGAAGGAGTAAGGCTGTGTGCAATCCCATGTGCTTCTTTAAATTGCCCATATCCTTACTCCTCATTGGAGCTTGTTCTTGCTACTGGTTATTAGGGCATACTGTACTCAGACTTTTAATTACTCGGCACACTAGGTAGATGAATGCTGGGGGCAGTGCAGCAATACAGGTTTAGAGTGTAGTCAACATCTCCGTTATCTAGGGACTCTCATCTCTCACTTTTTTAATGGGCACTCAAATTTTGTACGGGGTGGTAGCTCAGGAAACATGTTTTTAATTGCTAGAGAGTAGGGATGCATCAAGATTTTCAGCCGAAAATGTGCCTATCCCATTTCAGCCGAAAACGAAATTTGCCAAATTTTTATATATATATATATATATATATATATATATATATATATATATATATATATATATATATATATATATATATATATATATATATATATATATTTATATATTATTTTATTTATTTTTTGGGCAGTTCATAGTTTAATAGACATGTTTGCATTAACAATTCAGATGATCATATATCACAATGAACGATAGTAATGATAACATGAAAAGTCAAGAATACTGCAGTTGGGACAGGGGATGGGGGAGAACACTATGGGACGGGAGGTGAGGGAGAAAAGAACACTAAAAAAGAGGGAGGGAAGAGGAACATTATGTCGGGGACCACTAAAAGAGAAGGGAGAAGGGAAGTTTTTCATATTAGATTCATTAGAAAGTCTAATATTAATAACATTTTAGGAAAAAAACTTTTTTTAAATCATTGGGGGTTTTCGGCCAAGGGCATCCTGAATTTTCGGTTTCAGCCCAGAATTTTCATTTCGGTGCATCCCTACTATAGAGCCATTCTTCACCAGTCTTCAAGCGAAGTGTATATAACAATTTATGCAACTAAAACGTAATTTAGAACAATGACTAAACACATTTATTGTAGTTTAAAACTTGTCATTACCATGAGTATTATTATTATTATTGTAGAGCTTTGTTATACACTCAGACAAAACCAACAATATGGAGCTCCTAGAAAAGACATCAGGATAGAAAAGAGGGACTAGAGGAATTTGGATATACAATAGAGACTGTCCCTCCTAAATGGGGACACTTGGGAGTTATAGCATAACGCCTTCATTAGACCTTAACCCATGTGAGAGCATTCTCCAAAGTGCTGGAGAATATAGAGCCACTAAACTAATTATTTTAAACACGTGTTTTGCAGCTTCATGTGTTGGCCTATGGTGCTTTTTAGTATTTACAAGGTTAACTACATTTTGAATTCTTGGCCATTTAAAGTGAATTTCAAACTTTAGTTCGAAACAGTTGAATTGGATGAGTTCCTATGTATACATGATGTATTCGCAAGCCAATGCTGTCACAGCATTGACTCGTAACTTTGGAAATTAACTTACACTAATTCCACTCTATGCATTAATTGTATGTCTCTGTAACCTATGGTGTTGTGTTCATCTTTCAGTTTTTAGTTATTTTATTTTCATGTAAATGGCAAACACCATATTGAGAGTAATGTATTGGTAATGTTGTCCTAAGCATGGTCTGTGTGGTCATATATTACTTTTGAACCCACACGTAGTGAGAATTTAGCCCTGGCAAATACAAATTTAGCAACTTTAGGGCCTGGCAGGTATTGTAGCACTTACAGTTTTAGGCCCAATGGCTGGGTTAGTCTGCCTTCGTCACTTCATATGTTGCAGACAACATGTCTCCTAAAACTTTGCCAGCATTATGGCTGTAAGAGCATTATGAGATATGTAGGCCACAACGTCTCTAGCTCTGAAAGTTACCTTCCCCTGCCCTCTGGTATATGAAAAGATGTCTAAATGGACTTTGTACTTTTCATTTTATTTTTGCAATTTTTCTTGCAGCACAGCTGATGCCAAATACAAGATAGCAAATAATTGCAGTACAATGAAATGATCTTTAAAAATGCACTTTTGCGCTTGTGTTTATACATAAACTTGAACAGAATAATATTTAGATAAATTATTTCTGTTTTGCTGCATCCAGCACCGAGATATATTTGCCTTTATTGTTGACTTTTTTTTTTCCGCAGAAACACTTTTTATTTATTATTTTTATTTTTTTATATACATAGCTATCTGGGAAAGTTGTGCATTGTCTGACCATTGTGAGAAACATTAGTGCCACCAGATGATTTTCCTCTCTAGTCGGTCCTCTCCCCTCTGTCAGTCCTTACATTGGCTTCCTGTATCCTATAGGAGTCAATTCAAAGTTCAAACCCATACCTATAAAGCATTGAACAATTCTAGCCCTTCTTATATCTCTTCACAGATCCATAGGTATACCCCTTCTTGGTCTCCCCACCAATGACCTTCTGTCCGTTGCTCGCACCCGTACGGCCAACTCACACTTGCAGGACTTCTCGCGGGCAGCTCCCTTCCTATGGAATAGCCTGCCTACCGCCATCAGGCTCTCCCCTAGTCTTCAATCATTTAAAATGTGCCTTAAAACCCATCTCTTTAGGAAAGAGCCTAAATGGCCTCCAAGAGTAACCTCTACCTCACATACCTGTCTCTTGCTCACTCCTAAAGTGCAGCACTTTACTCTCTCCTCCAGCTCTGCTTCACTCCCACCTTATTTGATTGCTATTTCCTCTCTTAATGTGTTTTATACCCCACCTCCTATAGACTTTAAACTCGTTTGAGCTGGGTCCTCTTCAACCTATTGTTCCTGTAAGTTTTCTTGTAATTGTCCTATTTATAGCTAAATCCCTACTCTCATAATATTGTAAAGCGCTACGGAATATGCAGCGCTATATAAATACGAATAATAATAATAGACTAATCTCTCTGTACCAAGGGTTTGCTTTTTCACAATATGATTTTTTAAAGGTTGTATGAATGCATATGTGTGATAACATAGACCAGAGGCAGGTAGACCTCCCGCTATGAATCGTTCATGTGTGTAAGTTTCTCTGCGATCAAGGATCGATGTTTTTATTTTAAGTAAAAGGAGCAAACTGCTGAGACTGCAACATCAATCGACGGCAGAATATTTGTTCTATTTGCATAATTCTTTCAAAATAACTTTTGGCAATACTGAAAAAGGGGAACATGTTATGATTACTTGTGATCTAAAAATAGATAGAAAAAAATCATTTGCTTTGCAATTACTACAAAATATTTTTGTTTTTATTAATTCTTAATCTACAGTTTCCCCTTTTCATCTATTGGTTAAGATGATCGCCCACTCTTCTCATTTTTCCATTCTTATTTCCACAATGTGGTGTACTTAGGGTATGGAAGCTAGGACACGTCCCCTGGGTTCGTCTTGAAGGGGAAGCCACCGAGTCACTTTGTTTTTTTTCCTTTTAGCCCAGCTGCAGGGTTTAGAGCCGGCAGTGTCTGTTTTGCACCTCCGGCGGGGGCAGAGCTCTGTAATTGCTCCATTGAGACAGATGTTCCCGGCGACGCATGTACTCTGAGTTGCTGAGTGCGGAACTGCAAAGAAACCGTTACCGAGGTCTGCATCTGCCAGTGGTGCAAACCTCACACTCTCCGCACTCAGGAAACCCGCTAGACCACAAGGCAGAGTTAACCGCCCCCACTTACTGGATCCCCAGGGAGTATGCCCCTCCCATTGGACCACCAGGGCACACAGAGTACCACCAGACAAATTACATACAGCCAGCACACACCACTACTCACATACAGCAAGCATAGCCAGCACACACTACACATCGCATACAGCCAGCACACACCACACGCACACAGACACCTTATATACAGCTTGTATTTTTTTTTAGCTGACTTTATGGTAAAATTATCTAAAAAGATGGGTGTCAGATGTTTACTATTTTCAATAGATACGCCTCTATGTCCACAACCCCTGTTTGATACCCTTTTTCTAATGTTTGTGTCCAACTCTGTTCAACATTCTCCCTGCCCAGCTTCTTCCTCATCAACTCATGCAATCCACGTATTCAGCAAAAAACTTTGTCCCAAAGTCAAGTTACCTTTTCTGACCCCAGCTGACCTGCTACTTGCCAGTCTTACGGTGTTCAACTCATCTGACCTCACTATATATATATTTTTTTTTGTCTTATCGCCGTCGGTGACTGCAGTTACTAATCTTTGTAAAGCACCCTTGAGAAGTTTGTTATGTAAGACTTGTAAAATCATAAACATAAATCCCTGCTTAGTTTAATGACTGTTTTTCTGTCAATCTCTTAATTTTTGATCGCCTAACCTTGGGTCTATTGGGCTTTTCCAACTGTTTTCCCATAAAACCTATGCATTATCCATTACTCTCCTCAAATATGCACGTTTCAATCTCAATAGGTTATCGTTGCATCCTTTCCAGGCCAAATGCTGACACTTCCCAGTCATCTGTTGTTTCCTGTGCGGAGATGCGTTCAAATTTCACATCGAGTCAAAACCCAGAACGTAAACAAGCTTAGAGCATATTCATTTTCATAAACAGGAACTTTCTTTGTTTGTTTTTTTAGATTGGAGAAATCAAGCAATTGCACTTTAATATTCCCCCCCCCCCAAAAAAAATTAAAAAAAAATTGTTTCAATTAACAAGTGAGATCCATTTTATAGTTTAGGGGTTCTTTCAACTGTTGCAAATTATTATAATTATATCTATATATATGTGTATGTATTGTCAAAATAAAAAGGCCTTTAAAACTGATGTTTATAATAATAAATTATTTGAATTATTTTACTGAGAAATTGCAACTGTAGATATTTTAGCAATAGACTAATCAAAAACAGGATGAGTTCTCTGCTACAGATGGTGGTGTTTTGCTGTATTCCGGCTTATAGAGGTAGTTGCTACCTAGTTTGTCAATTATAATAGTCAAATGAATAGTTGGTTTTCTGTTATTTTTATTAAAGTTTTTGTTACTTTTTTCCAGCTTATTCCTGTTTTTACGCTGTTGGGCTGATTAGTACATTATGTTTTGGAAGCTATGAATTTCATAACTTGAGTTAATTCTGCTTTAACCCCTTAAGGAGCAAACTTCTAGAATAAAAGGGAATCATGACATGTCATGTGTCCTTAGGGACACTATAGTCACCAAAACAACTTTAGCTTAATGAAGCAATTATAGACTGTAAACTCATTTACGCCGTGTCCCCAACTACCTATTGTTCCTGTTACATTTTGTTATTGTCTCATTCGGTAAATTCCCCTTTTATTGTAAAGTGCTGCGGAATAAGCTGGCGCTATATAAATAACAATAATAATAAATAGTGTATAAATCATGCACCTGCAGTCTCTCTGCACAATCCTCTGCCAATTAGGAGTTAAATCACTTTTGGTTCTGTTTATGTCATCCTAGCCACACCTTTTCTGGCTGTGACTCAGACGGCCATGCATGAAAACAAAATTGTTTCACTTTCCATCAGATGTAAATTACTTTAAAGCATCACTATAGGGTCAGGAACACAAACATATATTCCTGACCCTATAGTGCTAAACCCACCATTTAGGTGGCTTGTGCCCCCCTATAAAAGTTTAAAAAAACCTTATTCCCGGCGCGGGTCTGCGGCGCTGGATCCGCCCCCTTTCCCATAGGGAAAGCATTGCATTGGCTAAAATCGGCAAAGGTGTGGTTTTAGCCAATCAGGACCGTCTCATAGATATGCATTGAATAAATGCATCTCTATGAGGAAAATTCTGCATCTCCATGCAGAAAGTGGGGACACTGAACGGCAGCCAGGAAGCCCATCCAGTGGCCATCTAAGGAGTGGCCACTTGGAGGTGTCCCTGGGGGCAATGTAAACACTGCCTTTTCTCTGAAAAGGCAGGGTTTGCATGAAAATTCCTGAAGGGAGCTATTATGCTCACCAGAACAACTACATTAAGCTGTAGTTGTTCTGGTGACTATAGTGTCCCTTTAAAAGTTTAAGGAGCACTATAGTGCCAGGAAAACAAACTCGTTTTCCTGACACTATAGGGTTATTAGGTCCGGCCCCCCCTCCTGCTGGGCTGAAGGGGTTAAGACCCCTTCAGCCACTTAATTTATTCCAGCGCCGGTGACCTCTCCTCCCCCTGCCAACGTCAGCCTTGAATGAGCATGCGCAGCCAGAGCCGCGCGCACGTTCAAACAGCCCTTAGGAAATTATGTCAATGCTTTCCTATGGACGTCCAGCGTGCCCTTAATGCGATTTTCGCATTAAAGATTGCGGAAGCGGCCTCTAGTCGCTGTCAGGTTGACAGCCACTAGAGGCTGGATTAACCCTCAATGTAAACATAGCAGTTTCTCTGAAACTGCTATGTTTACAGCTGCAGGATTAAAACTAGGGGGACCTGGCACTCAGATCACCTCATTGAACTATAGTGGTACTTTAAGCTAAACTGTTTAAGTGACTATAATGTCCCTTTAACAAGCATTGTAATTACACTATTTAATTATAAACAATATGTATATTAAACATTTATATATATATATATATATATATATATATATATGAGTCTGCGTGCATGATGTCTTTCCTGTAACGCCAAGCATCTCCTCCCATACTCATTTTGTAGTAATGTGCGCAAACCGACTGCAGAATCCCAGATATATAAACTGTACATTTGCTTGCATGTTTTTCTAACACATTGTAGATCTGGCTTATCGGAAATCTTGTCTTCTGTGCATGTTGTGGGTGATGCCATAATTTGAAAGTATACAGTGTTGACTCTTTTGTAAAATTAAGCTACTGTGCCCTTCCCAATTGCAAAATAAGTGCATTGTTTATCAGCCTCGGACTACTCCTGCTGCAGTCTGATGAATCCCAGAATGTTGAAACAGCTGCTTGTCTGGTTTTCCTGTTAGCCTTTGAACTTGCCTGTGTCTGTGTAATTGGCCCAAGCCTCAGGAATTCATGTTTAAAGTGGATGTGGACCAAAAGATAACTAGCTTGGTCTTTTTTTGCAAGATACAATCTAAAATCCTTGGTTTCAATCAACTGTTAATTACAACTCCTTATTTTGTATTTATTTATGTTTGCTTATTTTAAACCTTATATGAATCAATATTTCCATACAATTTAAAGCATATTCCCAATCAATTGTAAAAATGATCAAATTTTGCTATTTGGAATATAAATATTTTCTGGTTTGCTAGAAACCTACATCCTATTGGCTTGCTGTCAGCAAAGCTTGATGAACCTGTTTGTTTTTTTCCTTGTTTTTGTTTATTTGTCAGTTTAAACACATGGCTGCTGTATAATTGTTTAAATATTGTTTTGTTTTTTATCGTTCAATTAGTTTGGCCAATCAAACGATGCAGACAAACTCGTCAACAGGCTGGTGGAAGAATACAGCACCTCCGGACGTCTGGACAACATCACCCAAGTCATGAGTTTTCACCCGCAGTACCTAGAGTCCTTCCTGCGTACCCAGTTCTACATGCTACGCATGGACGGGCCCCTACCGTACCATTACAGGCACTACATAGCAATTATGGTGGGTACTATTTTTAAAAACCTGCAAAAACAAAGAACAAGAATATATAACCACTAACAATGCTATATGGGCACCCACACTTAAAACCGTGTGTCCTCTAGGATTCGCCAAATAATAAGGGTGAAACAAAAGAAAAAAAACTCCTATGTAAAGGAGGTTATACAACCTTAAGAAAAAATAAACCCGATATCTAAAAAGGAAGAAACAAAAGCTACATAGGGTATATCAATAAACCTGCATATCATAGATTGCACTCACAGAAACGTGGATATAGATAAGCCTGTCAGGAGAAAATCAGTATGAAGATCTCACAGTATAGGAGGGATACGTGTCGTCTCAGGTGTGGTATGATTCTCTGCTTTTAATGGAGAAGAAGAACACACGATAGTGCAGATTGTATATGTATAATGTATTCAAATTGCACTTACAAACACCGCTAAAAATTCTGCATATCTCCGCATCCAGCGGATCCTGGTGATGTGGATCACTTCAGAAGCTGGTAGGTTCATGAGCAGCAATAATAATAAAATAGATTAAAATAAACGTCCAAAGACAAATCCGGAATCTTAGGATGATATCCAACGCGTTTCGTCTGTCTCGACCTCTACATACCTATCCCCGAAGAAGTCGAGACAGACTAAACACATTGGATATCATCCTAAGATTCCGGATTTATTTGTCTCGGGACATTTATTTTATTAGAAGTGCAATTTGAATAAATGTAATACTTTACATATACGATCTGCACTATCCTGTGTTCTCCTTTTGCATTATAAGCAGAGAATCATACCACACCTGAGTGGGCACGTATACCTCCTATACAGTGAGATCTCCATGCTGATTTTCTCCTGACGGGCATAGATTGCACTCACAAGTTTCTGTGAGTGCAATCTATGATATGCAGGTTTATTGATACCTGACTCTATTACCCTGTGTAGTTTTTGTTTTTCATTTTAGATATCTGGATATATCTGGTTTATTGCTTCTTAAGGTTTTTTTTAAAACCTGTTTGAATGCATAATGCATGGCATATTTAACCCCATAGGAAGAATTTCACGAGATTCTGTGCATTCTTGAGTTAAAACATTTTGGCAGTTTTTATTATAAGTTTGTTCTACCATTTATTCCATATTTTCTCACTAAGTGCATATATATATATATATATATATATATATATATATATATATATATATATATATATATATATATATATATATATATATATATATATATATATATATATATATATATATATATATATATATATGTATATATATGTATGTATATGTATGTATATATATATATATGTATGTATATGTGTATATATATATATGTATGTATATGTGTATATATATATATATATGTATGTATATGTGTATATATATATGTATGTATATGTGTATATATATATATATATATCATGCATACACTGCATTTCCTTGATACCTTTTACACAGTCTTGCTCTAATAACTTCTAATCGTAGACTGTGACTAGATACGTCCTAAGGCGGGCAACAGACAATTCCTTCCCAGGTGCCAAATAACCCAGGTACACCATTAGGCAAAGCTTAACAAAAATATACCTGGGAGATCTTGACACTTTTGATGTAACTGCGATGTCACCAACGTCTGGTTATACTTCAGTTCTTGTATTTTTCCATACATCTCCAAGCACAGTATTGCATTTTCACAGTAACTATTGTAACCTTGATATGGGCTAATGCAGGATAAAACACGGCCATTAGCTGCTTTCTCCGTCACACTTACTGATAAGGACACAGTGTCTTTGTCACCGTAATGATTATTGCAGACTTTGATACACTGTCATCGTCGCATATCCCTCTGCAAAGAAAAAACAAATAAGCCTACATAATAACATACAAAAAAAATAAAATCTAGTTACATAAAATCATTTCCCCTATCGCTTACTTATTAATCCTTTTTTTTTTTTTTATTTTTTTTTTTCTTCTTCTTTTCCCTCCAAGGCCATTAAAACCTCAACTTACCACAAACTGAAATATTACAAGTATAGATCTGTATTTGTTCTAAACCAAAAGCCTTGTCTCACTTATTCGAACTCTCACTTTTGCCCCATTGTGGGACTTCAGTCTGAATGGCTATTATGAGATGCACAGGACTATTCACTAAGCCAAGAATCAAAGTGGATTTTAAATTTAAGGCCATAGCAGCCAAACCGGAAATATTCTCCAATTCGGCTATGCTGGCAGTTTGGCTGTTTTGGCCTTAAATGAACACTAGAGTGTCAGGAACACAAACCTGTATTCCTGACAAACTTCGAGAACTGTACAAACTAAACTAAAATTGGCCACTAAAGATGCTATTTAATGTCTCTGTATCTGTGTCAGCTTGGGGTTTGTGTGCTAAGGAAAAAGGAAATGGACAGAGGCACACATATTGTAATACACAGACAAAGGGCTTGCTTTGTTTATGCACATTAGAAATCCACAGATAGATTGAGCGCACAGTCCAGAAATACTCTCATTTAATAATACATTATACTTCTGTCCTCGTCATTTATTCAGTATTCTGGTTTTATTTCACACAGGCTGCTGCCCGGCATCAGTGCACATATTTGATAAACTTGCACGTCGATGAGTTTCTGAATACTGGGGGATCATCTGAATGGCTAAAAGGTTTGGAATATGTACCTCAGAGGCTAAAAAATCTCAACGAAATAAACAAAATTCTGGCACACAGACCATGGTTAATAACAAAAGAGCACATACAGGTACACACTTGCCATATGACGTGGCATTAACAGACATGTTTTACGGTGAATGTTTAGTTTATCTGTGCCGTTTGCTAGTTTGTCTGTTGATAATTTATTTTACTAGGGGATCGCCTTGGTTAAAGGTTAATAATATTTCGTAAAAAAAAGCAAGGTTTATTTGCCTACAGAAAACATGCAAGATTAAGTTTTGTTTTAGTTCGTTTTGTTTATTTCTGTATTTTTAATTCTACAGTAAATTTTTACCAAATTAAATAGGGATACATCATTTTTGTTTCTTAGTTGAGGTGTCAAGTTTGAGAGAATATTTATTTTACCTGGTTTAAAAGAACCTGGGGTATCCCATATTAGTTAATTGACTAAACCAGGGGTCCTCAAACTCCGGCCCCCCAGATGTTGCTGAAACTCAACTCCCATGATTCTCTGGCTGTCTATGTAATTCAAAGAATCATGGGAGTTGTAGTTCAGCAACATCTGGAGGACCCCCGGACTAAACCAAAGTGCAAAAGTGTGTCAAACCTAGTTTGTCAGTGTCTCTCATAATTTTCTGCCAGCCATAAGACAGGTGAACATTATTGGAGTTATCAAACATCTGAAGAGCATGTCTACTAAACATCTGTGCTATAAGGGTTTGCGTCGGTATGCAAAATTTTGGTCAAAATCTTGGAGTTGAAAAATAGAAGTAAAATTTTTTTTTTTCTCAGTCTACATTTTTATAAATTGGTTAACTCACTACAACTTGCGAGTTGGCAAAAAAAAAATCATCATAAAGTTGTCTTAATCAAATAGTTGTAAATAAGATTTGTATTAATCAGCATTAATTCTTTGCAATAGATCATTTATATTTTTTTAAATGTTTTAAGATTTTTGTATTTTAGAACATGTTTCACTATATATGTATATGTAACCGTGTTTAAAAGAAGTAAAAATATATCACTGTGTGTCATTTATTCTTTTAGTATAGGGCATTCAAAGACACATTGAATAAGAAATATTAATAATACTCTAGTGTTGTGTCATTATTAAAGTTCAAAATGGTCAAACCAAATGCTACTATGAACAAAAATGAGAAAAAAATCCAACTCTTTTTATGCATTTTATTGATGAACACCTAAATATTATATAGCACAGTTGTCCAAGTATTGTCCTTCAGACAACCCTTCCTTGAATTTCCTGCCTACTAGACTGGTAAATAATTATTGGCATTGGGGTTTAAGTGACAGCTGAGAGGTCAGAGTTGGCCATATCTGGTACAGAGAGGGCACATCTGTGGCTATTCCAATGACTCCTGTTTGTATCTGGCATGGCTCTCTCGGTTATTGTAATTTTCTACACATTCTTATCCCTCTTTAGAAACTGGTGAAGACCGGAGAGAATAACTGGTCACTGGCTGAGCTGGTACATGCCGTGGTACTGCTGGCTCATTACCATGCACTGGCGAGCTTCGTGTTTGGTAGTGGCATAAACCCAGAAAGAGACCCGGATGCATCAAATGGATTCCACCCGGTTGTGAAAAGCAAGCTTTGCGTTTGCGATCTTGCCAACGACAATAACATAGAAAACACAAGTCTCACGAGTAACAATATCGAGGTCAGTGGTGAGAAAAATAATCTATTTTTTTTTTCTTCTTCCTTCTTAGCTTAATCTCCGTTCTAGATCTGCAATATCCGCTTTTGCATAAAATGTTACCACCTGTTCTTTGAATTGTAATTTCAATTTTTAGTCTAAGCCTTATTTATCTTCCCCTTTGCTTTAGTGCTGGCTTTCACCATACAGACACATTTCAATGCCAGGGTCCTATTCGATCACCCAACATCTTCTTTAGAAGGGACTTTAAAATAACAGACATTGTTCCCTCCTCATACACCTTACAGCAGCATTTTTGGTCAAACTTCAAGGCTGCATTCTGACAACTAATAGGAGAAGAGAAGGGAGCAAGGGCTCTGGCACACTGAGAGATGTCTTTTTGCAGTTTGCAGTTCCAACCTACAAGGCCCTATAAATTTCAGATGTGTTGTCTAGCTGTAATTTCTATATATGTATGTATTTTAACATTCTGGTGGCATTATTAGTTAGCTGTAATCAAAGAACTGCCATCGGCTTACATTTATTTATAAGCCAAGGTATTTAATGGTTTCCTTTTTTTTTTTTTATCTTGATTATATGACAACTGATACTCTGCTTCTATGGTTTTTGTTAATAGAACCAGACAGGAAATGGGTTTTACGAAACTCAAAATTCGAATTTTGTAAAAGTGACTATTATTTTTATTCATTTAGTTCCATGTATTGTTTGCATACACTAAAATTAAATCCGATTTAAAAAAAAAAAAAAAAATGTATTCTAGTCATCAAAGTCTTTAAATGACTTTGCAACCAGTTATAAAAAAAATCCTAACAACACAATGCAAAATGTCTTTAGTTACCTGGTTATAATCAAACAGATCTGTTTGCTGTAGCTGTGTTTGTGTGCCATTGTATTAGCTTTTCTGGATATTTATTTTATATTCTGTTAAGTTGGGTACGCTTTTTCGAGTGACACAATTTGAACATTTCCAGAATTTTGCCAAAAGGTAAGAGGTACATTTGCCAGGAGATACAAACTTGTTTGCTTGTCTTGTCTGCAAAGTCCAGTCTCTACATCAATCTCACTATAATAACATTGGTCATTTGTTTTGTAATTGGTAGCATACAGAGAGATATAGAGGGGCACCTAAGGACTGCACTTTTGTCAGTCTTGATTTTAGCTGAATCCTTACCTAAAAGCAGTTACTTTATTTGATTTTCTTTATTGCTATTGATATCTTTAAATCTTCCATAGTACTAAGCTACCAGATGACATCAGCCCTGTTAGGATGCAAATTGTTTTTTTAAGACCACTCGATTTCCATTTTTCTTTCATCTCAGAACAATACATATGGATAGCATAATTAACAGACTATATAATTTTATGTATGCTCACACACCCTACCAAGTCACGAATAGACTTGCAAATACAAGTACCACTGGTGACTATCTCGTAATCCCAGCGATGAGGCAGAAGCAGTGGAGTATTTTAATGCATAATGCTGTACATGCTAATTTATAGCAGTGGATGCAGATTAATCATCAAATACCATGTTTAAAAGGCAGGGATTTTGCTTTATTGCTATGCCCGTATTAACACGTTGCTTTACGCTGCAGGCGCCTCTCTCCATGAAGAAATCTCCAGCAGTCACAGATTTCTCTAATTTTCTTAATCTCCTCTAAAAGACGGGCTCTGTAACTCCCATTAGCTGTCTTGATTGACGTAAATGAGTGCTGCTAAGAGGTGTCCAGTACAAATTAGTTAGTCAGGACCCCATGGTGCTTTTCCTATTGGCAGTTTTTTCAATAAATAGTGATTTTAAAACAAACTTGCAAGATTTAGTCAAGGTGGCCTTATTGGGCGAAAAAGGTTTGCTCCATTTTCTCTATCTGATTTGTCCTAAATTTACCACCCTTTTATCAGTTTACCCCAACATATACCTTGTGTTTAGCCCCTAGTGCACACATTTAGAACAAGCGTATTTAAACTGATTCTTTAGCTGCTAATGCACTACAGTCCCAGTGAAACTCTTCCAGCACATAGAAAAAGGACATGACATGGGGGGGGAGGGGTTGATAACTTTGATTAAAGTAAAGTTGCATGTAGCCAGTGCATATAGAGGGAAGTGATAAATCAATTCTAACCTGTTTCCATGACTGCTTTTGAAAATTGATTCAAGAGGGAGAATCAGAACGATCTCCTGACCCACCCTGTATTGGTAGTCTGCTGGATTTTATTACATGTTATTGTTTTGTTCTATAGGACAGTAGGTAACACTAATGCCCCTGCCTTTAATTAGCAGAACATGGATTCGGAAAGTGAACTAGAGGCCCTGATGGAAAGAATGAAAAAGCTGCAGGAAGAGAAAGAAGAGGAGGAAGCATCCCAGGAGGAAATGGCCACTCGATTTGAAAAAGAAAAGAAGGAAAGTCTTCTCGTTATTTCGGGAGGTAAACCGCTCTTTATTTTATATTTACCCTTCGTCACATAGCTTTGTGTAAACGTTTTGTCAATGCTAGACTTTAGGCTCATAAGTCCTCTGTTCATTTTGTACTAGTGTGTCTGTATATTGTACTGTTTAATTCCCTCATTTGTACAGCGTTGCACTTTATAAATAGTAATATTATTTGTTCTTGTCATCCTATACATCTGCACCAGTGCTATGTTTGGTTTTAGGTAATCTATCCAAAATACCTGCTATACTTTTTTCCACAAGCCTACTTTTACCAAATACAGATCAAGATAACACTATTATTTCTCTACTCTTAAAGGGATATGCTCTTCAGCTTATTTATGTAGTTGTGGTGCCGTCCATGCAATATTATGTTTGATTAATTTGTCAGACTGACAAAATAGGGCTTGAATGTAGAGCTCATTGCCCTGTTACTTAGAATCCTTGAAATCTCTCTTCCCAGCTCACATAACTGTGACATTAGTATGTCACCGCTCCCCGGAAGGACACTTGAAAGTCAAAGACTGCCGCCGTCTTTCTGATAGGTTCCGGGGATGGCATGGGGTGCTCACTATTGGTTGGCACATAGCTAGGGGCAGTCTTTGTGCTTTCTCCCAAGGAGCAGTTCCTGCAACTCTCCCACCCACCCACCCACGTACATCCTGAGTGCCAGGAGGTGCTACTCCCAACTCTCTGACAGAGCTTTAAAGGAGAGCTCAGAGCTCCACATACCTCTTTAGGCAGATATTAGTCCTATGTTAGAGTGCCCAGTGCAATAAGCTGCGGTGCTTATAGTGCCTAGACTGTTTAATGTTTTTGATTGATTTTTGACTCTGAAATGGAGTGAGGAGAAGTATCTTGTAAATGTAAATCCCTGTTTCGGCAAACTGAGCCTAGGAAATATTTGTGACCACTATCCCTTTTAAAATCGCATAAAATAGGGATTGCCAGGGTGCAGCTGTGGGAACCAGATAGATCTGCAACTCAGTCTCTATCTGTAAACCACAATTACAGAGCATTACTTAAGGCAGTGTTAAAAATTAAACCAGGCAGCATGCAATATCAGAAACGGCCAAAGCTGCGATCCCCAACTACAGCGTCCATGCGTAAAGCATTTTGGGAAACAAACAGATTATTTAAGAGGTGTGTGAAAAAGGGGGCTATCATCAGCAACCAGGTAAACTCCCAAACTTGGAAATATGACACACAAAGCGTTTTGGGAGTAGGTGGTTCTTTTCTTTGTTTGTGTTTTTGTTTTTTTAACACTGCATAGAAATATTTAGTATAAAATTTACAAATTTGATTCATATTTGTTTGAAAATGTGGTCGTACCCAACTGCATTATATAAAAAGCATTTCAACAACTATTCTTCCAGGGCATCAATGTCTAATACTTATTTATTGTACTTTGTGCCATAAGCTGGCAAAGTTTCCTCTATAGAGTCAGAGATCATGGCTGAGCGACGTCTTATCGAGATAGAACTGGCTGTTTCTAAACCATTAAGCTAACACCCAAACTGGCTGCAATGTTTACAGATCACATTGCTGATTTGTCTTACTTACACATTAAACATCAACATTTCTCAAAAATAAATTGAGCAAGGCTGTAATTCCCAAGGACCAAAACTCAGAATTAAAAACCAAATTGCTATTAGTCGGCTCGTATTCCAGGAATTCACTGATGACGATTCGAATATTGGATATATTGCTGTACAGGCAGGGCATAAATAATGCTGCAAGTTGCACGGATTTGGCCATGTGTACACATGCATTCACTTAAACCATACGGGGTACAATATCCCACAATGCCTAGCGTGGAGCAACATAAGGGACTGAGAGATGAAGGGCTATGAATTGTGGGAGCTGAAATCCAAGTTAAAATAAAATATCTGCTACATAATTGCAAGCTATTTGGATAGCACAATGTCTACATAATATGTGCCCACCTTATCATGTCTTCTCTGTGTGATGTCCACAATGTCTACATAATATGTGCCCACCTTACAAACTTACCTCTGCTGCATATGTAGGTGAGGGACACCTCAGTTGGTTTTTGTTGTTTTTTTTTTTCCCTAACAGACACTCTGTGCTCATATTATCTTGACATTAACTTTCCTTGATTTCATGCAAGGTCTTAGCCCAGGGAATTATGGGACGTTTTTTTAATTTGCATCACATACCAGGCCAGAACAGCAATGTATTCAAAACCAATCCAAATGAAAACCAGAGTGTGAAAAAAAAAATTTTTTTAAGTTAAAATTCTATTGTTGTTTTTTTAATTCTCTTCACTGCAAAAAATGGCATAAGTAAATATGTAACAATAAAAGACAAAAGGTCAGAGAATTTTTTTTTTCCTTTCAATGGGACTTCTCCTTTAACTACTGCTAGTTGCCAGCTATCTCAGGCCATATGGCATTTTTATTTCTGAAGCATGGAGTCTGAGAATTACCACCAAGGTCAGATGCAGTCAGCCTGATGGTAATTAACTCCATGCAAGGTGGTTACACAATATAGCCACCTGCCTCTTCAGAAATAAACGACTCTCTCACTATAGATAAAGGAACTTTATTTGCCAAGTAAAACATTGTTAGAGATCTAGAGAAATGCCTAGTTACTGCAAATACTGGCTTTACTTCAGCCCTGATTCCCCCTGCCTAACTAGACTCCTATCTGTTGAATTGACGTTTCAGCCACATCTTATATCTGTAGTTTAATTTATATCTACAGTGATTAAGCTTTATGTTGCGTGTGCTTTCAGATCCTTTATTTCAAGCTGCTTAGTTTATTTAGTAAACACCAAATTGTAGTGAAATAAAAACGGCAAAATTACAGAATAGTAAAATTTTGGGTAAAAAAGTGATGATATTGGAGAAATGTAAGCATCAAAGAGACACCATATTCACCAAAACAACTTTATCTTAATGAAGCCGTTTTGGTGTGTAGATCATGCCTTTGCAGTCTCACTGCTCAATTCTCTGCCATTTAGAAGTTAGATCACTTTGTTTATGCAGCCCTAGTCACATCCTGCCGTCTTCCTAAACACTCCTGTAAAGAGTCATCTAATGTTTATACTTCCTTTATTGCAAATTCTGAAAGCAGGCATATTTCTATATGTTTCCTAATTCTATCCACAAACCGGTGCACTGCTACACATTTCCAATCCAGTTCTTTTGATGCTGACCAAGTGAATTTGACCCACCACTCTAAGCCGCTCTTACCTAAAGATCACTCTAAATCTGTTACATTACCGTATAATTATCTACCCTAAATCTGTCCCCCTCCATCCTTAAGTTTACTATAGCAGAATCTCTCAAGCAAATCTCACTGCTACCATGAAAGCCTTTTGAAAATAACTAAAATAACTAAGACCATTTCAGTTTACATTGTTTTTGGTTCTGTTAAAGGCGAACAGCAAACAGAAATATTTAACAATTTTAAAAAAGTTTTGATTTTGCAAACAGTTGAGCAAATTTGTTACAGCAAATTTATGTGTTTGAAGTTATTTATTTTTTGTGTTGCAATTTTCCTTGGCCTCTTCTGACCTGCAATTTCTGCTTCTTTCAGCTTTCGATACTGATATGGTTTCTATGACAAATGCCTCTCGTTACATTGAGGATCCTGGGTTTGGCTATAAGGATTTTGCCAGACGTGGAGAGGAACATCTGCCTACATTCCGGGCACAGGTAGGTCCACTTTGTGTCCAGCTGTAATAATGAACACATGCCACAAAATAAATCTGTACTTATGTCTTTCAAATTAAGAAATGTAATCCCTGATACCAATGCAATGAAAAGTTATCATAGGAGCTACTTTATTTTATAGTCAAAGACTAAAGTGACAAAACTTGACAAAAGGTTAAGCTTCATATTTTTTCAGTTCCACCAGCCATCGATATTGAGGAGTTCCGATGTATGTTTTTCTCTGCATTGTTGAAGCCAGAGAGAGTTTTTTCCAGGTTAAGCTGTGCAGCTCCTGGATTCACTTACAAACATTAAACATTTTGAGCTCATAGTAAAGGGGTGTGGGTTCTAAAGATAGTGTAGTCTTGCTCAGTAGGACCCATGGAAGGTTTCAATTTTGACTTTGCCAAGGTTGATTATGCAATAGAGAAGCCATGTGATGCCATCTGTGCTACTAGCAGACACTTGGTGTTCTGTTTATTATTTATATTGTATCTGTTCAATTCAAAGCCATGTTCCCACGATTAAACCATGGGTTCTTTTAATGTTGTGTAACAGGACTACTCCTGGGAAGATCATGGCTTTTCGCTCGTTAACAGACTTTACTCCGATATCGGACACCTACTAGACGACAAGTTCCGAATGGTCTACAATCTCACATATAACACAATGGCTACCCATGAGGATGTGGATACCACCATGTTAAGAAGAGCCTTATTTAATTATGTCCATTGTATGTTTGGGATCAGGTATGTGTTCTATGTATGATATGACACACGTACAATTCTAATAAAACAATATTCATCGCATCCTGTGGATTCTGACTGGGGTGTCATGCAACTGCCTGCACTCTAAGGTTTGCTTGGTAAAAGCATTGCAATCTAACTCTGCAGCAAAGCTATCAAATTCAAGAGCAGCCCATGGTTGACTCCTAATTGTAAAGACAAGCACATTTATTATGGCTGTAAACCTGCAAGCGTTTTTTGGGGGGGGGGGTTCTAGCCCTCTTAAACCCTTGTATGAATTTGGTGCAGCCAAAAGGGTCAATGGCAATTTGGCCATGCCAAACAGGTTACAGAGATTCAGTGCCCAAATTCTCCTATTCTCCAATGCTTGCAGCCTTTTATTGCACAGTGTGAGTTTACATTGTGTACTCTTGCTGTACAAATATTTGGGCATCTAATGATTTGAAATTTCCTCTTTAAAACATCTTTAACAGGTGCTGAATGTGACAGGGAATGCTCCCGTTTTTTGTCAGTTGGCTTCAGAACCATTTGAATAATGGTTCCATCAGGAACTGTCAGGCCTCTCAGTTAATCTTTATGCTTACATGGATTTCTATAGTAGAAGATGCATGTTGTTATAAACTCCATAGAATCAATGTGAATGGAAGCCAGTAAGCAAGTAGTTATCATTCTTTTATATTTTACATTTCTACAGTTGGAATGCACATAGAAAGATAGAACGTGATGGCAGATAAGAACTAGTCTGCTCAATGTTCTAAATGCTTTAAATAGTCCCTGGCCTTATCTTATATCTAGGATAGCCTTATGCATGCTTAAACCCCCTCACTGTGTTAACCTCTACCACTTCAGCTGGAAGGCTATTCCATGCGTCCACTTGTAGTAACCTTTTGTTCAACAGGGACCTTTTTGTTAAATATAACTTCATGTTACCTGCTGGGTGTCCCCTTACATCACCTTGAGAGTCGGGAAGGTTTTGTTATATGTAAAACAGCGCTGATGACCTTTTATACGATAGCCTATATTCATCCAAATCTAACTTATTTTATCCAGATGGTAGTTTTCCACTCTGGCGTAGGTGGATAGTCTTTTGGGATAAGTAGGGTAATTAAAGACTTCTATTTGAGCTGGTTATTCATCACAAGTTAGACTCATGTTTATAGTGATGCTCAAGACTTTCAAGTCTGTGCACATCCCTTCTCTAGCTTTTACCAGCCATAAAACATCATGGAAACATTCCATTCTGTACTTCAAATCATCATTTCCTTACATGTTCTTGCCCATGCGGTCAATACTCTAATAATCTCCAAACTGCCAGTGTTGGTGCAATACATTTGTTTGTATAATATATTTATACAATAATTCAGTTTGTAGGTTCTGTATGTCATTTAAATTAAAGTATTACAATCGTTCAGATAACTACATAAATCAGATGGACGAAAGAGTAGATAGATGGGCATAGGTAGATGGATAGATCTGGAAATAGATGGGTGGATACGGATATAATAGAAGGATGGAAATGGGTGGATAGATCTGAAGGTAGATGATTTTGGTGATGGATATAGAGACAGATAAAGATAAGTTAATAATGTACAAGTGTTTTAAAGTTATTGATCTATTACACGTTTTCCACAAGGTCATGAAAAACCCTGCACGTTCACATTTTCGTAGAACTTAAGAGTATTTAACATGAGTTCTGCTTTCCAACCAATTAAAATTGTGTGAAACATAGCTGATTTTCTTTGTCTGACCTGATTTTCCCTAGGTACGACGACTACGATTATGGAGAAGTTAATCAGTTACTTGAGCGGAGCTTGAAGGTTTATATTAAAACAGTGACCTGTTACCCCGAACGAGCAACCAAACGAATGTACGACGGCTACTGGCGTCAGTTCAAGCACTCTGAGAAGGTACGTGATGCAAACCCAGACAGCCAGCTCTGTGTTCTGTACAAATATTACTACTGAGACAGCTATGTTGTGTCTCATCCATTGTTTGCAATAAACCAAGTAATTTACTTGTCTTAACTGTTTATATTCTAGTTTATATGTCTTCAAGCATGGCACTGACTTGTCCTAATTGTACCATCAAATCCTACTACTTTATAGCATTAATTATGTTACTGTATGTGTAGATTGAATGTGGCACCTTTTAGTAAATTCATGTTTGTAACATTTTTTGGCAGACTATTTCACTTTCTATCCACGCCAACTGTGAATCAGTTCCCTTATTGGAGCTGCACAGTGTTATATGCTGTCCTAATTGTCTGTGTCAGGAGCTAAAAATGGTTCATTTGGTGTTTTTTTGTGACAAAAGATATAGACAAAAAGATGAGCCTTAATGGAAACTCTAAGCAATATAACCACTGCAGGTCTCTCCGGTGGTTTTGTTGATATGAGTCATGGTGTGCCGCCCCCCATGTTCTGATAAATCTCTATTAAAAGTGTAACAAAAATTGGGGTGCAAGAGGGTGCAGGGAACATGTATATTGTATGCACAACGTAGCTTTAAATTTAAACCTGCAAATACAATCTCCACTGGGTTTAAGGGACACTATAGTCATCAGATCATGTCATCTCATTGAAGTGGTCTTGGTGCAGTGTCCATGTCCCCTTTAGTCCTGCAATGTAAATAACTGCAGTTTTTGAGAAAGTGCGTTAATTACATTGCAGGACTAGGACTGCCTCTAGTGAATGTCAATCAGACAGCCACTAGAGGCACTTACTGGTGGCTAACCGACTTTTGGTTGCCTAACTGACGATGGACGTCCTCACGCGCTCTGCATGAGGACATCCAGCGTTCGTAAAATCCCCACAGGAAAGCAATGAGCATTAGCCCCCCTTCCCGTCACATGACTTGGAAGGAGGCAGAGGGCTGACCCAGTGCCGAGGGACAGTGACTAAAGGTTTTTGGTTTTTTTTTTCTAACCCTTTAGCTGCCTAAGTTGGGGGAGGGATGGGGGTCAAAAGGCTCTATAGCGTAAGGAATACAATTTTGAATCGCTTTAAAGAGGCTGAGGAGTGAGTGTCAAGGCAGAGAAAGATAACCCTTCCAGTGCCGTTGTATGTTCCCTGTTCTATGTGCAACACCCCCAGCAAGCATTTCTTACACATTTAAAGGAAGTATAGGACATTTTGACACCAACGTGCTGGCAGTGAATCCAGCTTGTTAATCTTATCACGAAGCAGGGCCAGGTATTTCAGAGAGGGGATGGCAGCGGAGGGTATCACCCAGAGACCTCCTAGATCAGCAGCGTTGGAGCAAGGGGAAGCAGGTGAGTACTAACATAAGTACCCTAAAGCATAAAAATATATTGTTTATCGTTAACCGGGTTAATTACTAAAGTGGGAATTCAAAGTAAATTTAAAAATATCCAAACTGGGAAAATTCTCTAAGGCAGCTATGCTTTCAATGCAGCTACTATGGCCTCAAAGTTCACCTTGAACTTAAAACATTCAAAGCCCGATTTGATTTCTTGCATTGTCTCATGTGAGAGTTTCTGTGCCATATTCCTAACGGTCTCTTGTGTGTTTCAGGTCCACGTGAACCTGCTTTTGATGGAAGCTCGCATGCAAGCAGAACTTCTGTACGCCCTCCGTGCCATAACCCGTCACTTGACCTGAGTGTTGGGCAGAGAAAGCGTCTACCTGCAAAACCAATTCTCTCTCTTTTTAACTAGATAGCAACAGAAGCGGTCTGTGATGTAGCATCAAACATATATGCATATCTAGCGTCAACGTTTGCCACACTTGCGGCAGTTATGTGCAATGATCTGTGTTTTCTATATTATGATGCTTTTCAATACTAATATTGCAGAAATCTCACTACTATAAATTTTTTTTATTATTATTTTCTAAGCAGCCACTGCAATGCAGACTGCCTTTCCAACAACCTTATTGTTTAGATCTGCATTAAGCTCATTTCATTGTAGCAAATCAGGTTTGACTTGTTCCAGTTAACTGTAGTGTGTTTGCTTGCCATAGCAAAAACAAAACACAAAAAAATAATCCAGCTGACCTGGCTACTTTTTAAAATGTATATTTACATATAGAAATTGTAAGCGTTTTCTTTTTTTTCTATTTCCTTTAACCAGTTTGCTAACAAAGTTGGTTAAAAAAAAATACACAATTATGTGCCATAAATGGAATCTTTAGATGTATAAATATTATTTGCTAGCAAAGTGATGCTACGTCTACATCTGTAGGCTCGCAAGCTAGTTTTGGTGCTTTAATTCTCCCAACTCTGCTAAAAGGACATTCTTGAAAGTAGATGTTGGTTTCTGGCTTAAATGAGAAAAAAAAAAATGTGAAAAGTTTAAGTATATTCTGCAGCAAGCTACTCACAGTACACAGCTCAAATGTACATGTGTGTACATACGTGCACACACACATTCATACAACTATGCTAATTTCTTTCTCTTTTCAATCCTTTGAATTCAATATATTTCTAGGCCTTGCCATTTAATAGCACTCTTGTTTCAGATGCACAATTGTGGGTATTTGACCTCCCTAACTCTTAGTAAATTGGGACTGCAGTAGTACTGCACAATATGAATGCTAAACAGCCTTAATCTAGTAAACATGTGGATCCGTACATTACCAAACCTCTCATGCAGCCATCAGCTATGTTGCAAAGTGTCTGGCTATTCATGGTTTATTAGTAAAAAGAAACAAGATGCCTTTTTTAAAGACCATGTTTGCACACAGCTCATATACTATTTACATGTATCTTGTAAGATGGCAGCTTCCTGTATGACAAACGTGAGGCTACGGTAGTTCTTGTTTCTTGTTTTCAGGTTTGTTGCTATTAAAACAAAATGCTTATTATATGTTAAAACTATAGGTGACTCTACCAATTAGACCCTTAAGGACCAATGACCGTCTGTTCCAGAATGACCTTACACCAACATAAAATGGCCACCTTAAGTAACACATCATGCGTTTGACAAAAGAGTATAAGACATTTAATTTTAGAATATGTCCTCTAAGACCAAGTTATTATGATGCCATTGACCTTCCTTGGTCCTTAACGGTTAAATGTTATCAGAATAAAATATGGAAGCAGATTTAAAATGCACCTCTACTGACAATGTTCCAAGACAAGACTGTGCCTTCATCCATTTAGGTCCTAAAAGGCCAATTGTGCATTTAAATACAAAAAGTGTTACAAGCCCACCAGCAAAAGGCTCTTAACTCAATATTACAAGAGGGATGATGCAATATAGTATCATAACTCCTATGGTCCTCAAAGGAGTTGGAAGAGGAATACCTGAAATACCAAGTTTTGCACATCCTTTTAGTGTCCAAAATTATTGCTTATGCAAGAGCAGGATGCCTGTTGTACTTGACCTATTTGTTGTTGGTTGTTTTTTTTTTTTTTTGGTTTCTTTTTCTTAACTTTAGAAATGTTTACTCTGAATAATTTACCTGCATCCATAAGAATACTAATGGTGGCTCCAAGCTGTGATTCTACAGGTGTGCATTGTTGGTGAACAAAAAAAGGTAAACGTGCAATATTAATCTAGGGTAGGGGTGTGGAAGCAGAGTCCCAATCCAGGTGAAGTTGAACTACAGCTCCCATAATTCTTTGGGGTCCTTCGTTAAAAACCACCTTTCATCTAGCACAATCTCTTTTTGTATGAGTGAGGTTTGAAGTGCCCTGTGAACTTTACAATATATATATTTTTTTTTTCGCTTTTTCCTTTAAAAGAGAAAAATATTTTCTTGTTGGTTATTTTTCTATCCTATTAGAAAAGAAACGGTGCACGTTTAAAATACACTTAAAAGCCAAAGCATTACAAGAGTTAAAAACAATATACCAGCTGTTAATTTCCTGTTGTATGTTATCAGTTGTGTGTGTTATTTCTGACACAGTGTATAAACATTTTCAGTGTGATGGTAGATGGTGACATTCTACCAAATTATAAGAGCTAGTTTTGCTTTTAAGTCTGCGTTTTAAGATATTGTAAATGGCCGTTTTAAGTTGATTTCTGTGATCATGATATTTTTTCAGGTTTTTATGGAGAAAAAAAAACTGTTTTATAATTTGTTTTTATATCAAACCCACCATATTACATCTGTTTGGTTGACCTGTCCTTCTTATTCTTGTCCATTCAAAAGTCCACCTCTTTGACATGTCTGTAGCACAAGAACGAAGTCAAGACGGCAAACCGGACCCAAAAATCAGTACAGTTGCAAGGCCTGTTTAATTTTACCTCAGATTTTGTGACTATTGTTATAGTAAGCCCATTTTAAGCATGCATTGAGCTGATTGACATAATGCATTGTCCAAAAGATAGTCAGACATTAAGAGCAGTGTCTAAGCATCCAACTTGATCTAGACTAGAGTGAAGATGTATTTGTTGTTGATGAATTTGTACTTTCCCAAGTCCAGTCCTGTTTGAGTTCATAGAATATCCCCATGGCTGAATCAATTGTTATACTTGTAAGAACATTTCCAAACATTTTTAATTTTTTTCATACTCATTATGTAGGCCATCCTACATCCAACAAACACTTAAGGCCTAACAAAAATGTGCAAATAAATATATGGTCTTTATAACCTATAAAGCATTTAATTTATTTTAAAACCTGGGTCATCTCACTAGTTGAGTAATTGAAGACACTGAGTTTAGCAAGTACAGTTAACTTGTACATTGTGCTAGCGGTCTTCTCTCATATAAAGATAAAGTGAATTAATTTTACATTAATATAACCTTTTTCAGATTTTCCTGCTGTACTGATGGCACAGCAGTAAAGGGTACAATCATGGAGGGCTGTAGTGGCTTCACATGCAGCCAAACCAGCCTCTTGAGTGACCCAACGGCATCTCACAACTGTTAGCACATGCTTATAGTTATAGGCCATCCATTGTGCCTGGTCACCATATCCTCTCCAAGACTCAAATCTGTACATGGAGGTAGCAAAAGTAAGAAAGTTTCTCAAGCTATGCTCGTGCTGACAATTTGCCCGCATAGTTTATAGATCTCGATATACCTATATATCAAAATGAGCTTGTCGTACATCCATTTTGTGGATATCAGGTGCTTTTTCATATAGTGTCTCCAAATCTTGTAATTATAAGACACTAGGAGCTGTGTCTCAGTCTGACTGTTTATCAGCTTTTCTGAATTGTCAGATCAGTGATTTTGAATGTATTGTGCTCTAAATATTGTAATGGTCCATCACTTTATTAACTGGGGTTAACAGATAAATACTATTCTAAAAGGCCAAAGTAGATCGTGAACAGTGATTTTATTTTTGATTTGTTGAAAATGTTTGAGTGAGACTCCTCGTGAATAGGAGATATCTACAACTTTGTTCCCAATTCCCCTCACTTTGGGACTGGCTTTCTTGAATATTTTTAACCAGTGTTTATCAACCTTGGCGGTCCCCATATTTGTTGGATTATATCTCACAGAAATCATTAATGGCAGAGTTTTCTGGAATATGTGGGATAACAAAAGTTTAGATACCTGCTGCTGAAATTTGTTACCAATACAAACAGCAAAAATAATGAAACCTAAAGAAATCTGTTTTTTGAATACACTAGTTTCAACTTTGTGTTTGATTTGTGTATTCTCCTGCTGTGTTGCAGAAGGTTTGAGTGTTTTTTCGAAGTTTGACATGTTGGATGGTTTCATGAGATCTCAGTTCACACTTTATGTTGTGTTATTTAATGAATACTATTCCTCAACATGAAATTGGGACTCCATGACTTGACGTGGACCTCTGTCTGGTGTGTAATTCATGTTATAAGCGTAAACAATAGTTTGCTAACCTATACAATCTGTAACTATTGCAAAACAATCAGACTGGCCCATGGTGGTAGGAATAGCACTTTTTAAATGTCCCTTTGTAGTTAGACTGCATAGGTTTGCCTTTTTCATTTAATTTTGAGAAGTGTTATGTTGGGTGCTTAGCCATCACTGTGTCGGCCAAAACACGTTGGAGATCAGTGTCACTATCCGCGTCGCACTGAACATAATGCGACCGATCCCTTTCATCCTTTTGTAAATCAGACGGAGTATATTTCTTAAACTGTAACTTGCTAAGGTGACATGTTGCAGGCCCATCCAAGCACTGAATGGATTCATAAAAGAACTGGATACAAATATGTGTTTGTACCTTCAATATTGCTGCACTGAATCCTTATGAATGTATTAGCCTTTCAAGTTACAGATGGGTGTGAAATGCATTGGATTTTCTACCCATCTGGCATTCAAGGGCTAGCAAACTACCAGCAAATTTTGATTTTTAATTTTATCTTGTCCTCAAGATAAGTGATATGCTGTGAAACGTCAATTACTAGTAGCTTGATAGTATTGATCAGTATTGGCAAAAATAAGTAAATAAAAATAGCATTTTATTTCTTTGGTACTCTTCCTCCCCTCCCCTTCCGCCCAAACACACACACAAATAAGCTTGCCTACTCATTTCCACTTGTAAGGAAAATAAGTATTTTCTCTTTTGCTAACAGCAGATATACCTGTTGGTAATGTGAAGCAAACATCCGTGACCTAGAGATCATATATAAGTAGAATTACTAAAATATGTTTCTAGTAACGGAATCCCGTGATACTTCTTGGGTTTCACGTAGTTACAGTGTCTAAATCAGAACAGTGTCATTTTATTACCTCTACATATACACAGTCACTTTAATGCAGCTGGGTCTTTTAACTTATCTAGTTTCAATAAGTAGCTTGCACACGATTACGATTTCAGAAATATTTATGGGAGTTTAGTCATTAACCAAGGCCATATGTCAAGATTGAGCAATGTGCTACCTATTGTTGCTCCTCACGATGATAACTCAACAGTTGAAAGTTCTTGGCGTTCTGTGCCTGACTGACCATGTATATGAGGCTATACTGAATATACTGAATTCTTTAAAATGTGTAGGGTGAAATCTATTTTTTTTTTTTTAAACTATAGAATTATCTTGCATATTTTAACATTGAGGGAGCTGTATCCGTAAAAGTTTACAAACTATTTTGTTACAGTAAAATTAGTACATTTGTGCCCCTTAAGGAGTAGAACTTAAAATATAGTTTTAAGGGGCTGACACAGTGTTAAAATGTGAATTTTTACTTTTTCTTATACCCATGTTTCCAATTTACTTGCAATAGCTCCCTTTAATTAAGCTGGCACATTTTGCCAATATCCTTTTACTCCTGGTTTACAATCTTCATTTTTTTTTCTTCTTCTTCACCAAATCCACTTAAACTAAGATTAAAACTGCTACTTAATGGACCCAGATGAAGTAGAGACTATGCTTCTTTAAACTAAAGTTACGTCTAACCGTAATCAACTTTTTTTTTTTTTTTTATCGTCTAGATTTTTTTTTTTTGACATATGTAAAGTTTCTTTGTTTCTTTGCCTTTTTGTTGTGGAGGACTGTAGTGTGCTGACAAGAAAGATGTACTATATAAATGCCTTCCTTCTTTTTTTTTTATACACAGACTGGGTTTAATAAATATAAATTTGCTTCTGCGATATGAGGTTCCCCTACCCCTCACTTACCCTCTTCTTTGTAACAAAATTCCCTCTGTTTAGGTTCATGATTTCATGACATGGCATCCAAAACTTGTCAGAAAATCTCAACTCTTTTCTGTCCTTAACTTTTCGAAATGTTATGAGAATAGGAATTATTGCTTTTTTTTTTTGTATGCAGGGATGCCCTTCAATGACTGTCTTGCATTTGTTTGTTTGACTCCCACAATCCTTTGCTGTTCTCCAAATGGTGTCTGGGATTCTGAGAGTTATAGGCAAGCAATAATTCATTGACTGGAGTTGGACATCTCTGCTTCAAGATATTGATGAAATTTCAACAATCTATCATGTCAGATTATTCTCATTAACTGTAAAACACTTAGAATCAGTTTGTTTTGCTTTGATTTTTTTTTCCAATTCTCTACTTAATCAATACAGCAGTGTTTGGCATCAAACCAAAGGGTGCTGAATATAGGCTACTCTCTCTTATATGTATATTGTACATTTTAGGTTTTACTCTGACTGTAGATATAATGGATACAATTACACTAGCGTTTTTGTTAGACTTTTGTTTGTTTTGTTTCTTTGCTTTTGCTGTGCTAGCAAAACTGCAAATTCTAACTTGCAGGATTTTTTTAATTTTAATTTTTTTTTATGTCTGATTTTAATTCTATGTACACTTGCAATTAAACCCTCCTTCAGCATTTAAGAGGACAGCTACACGTGCCTGTAATACATTGCTACTACACTAACTGAAGGGGTTATTGTGCCAATTGCAAATGAGTATCAGATTTTCAGTAATGTTTAGCGAGAGCTCGGAAGATGCAGTATAAATAACAGATGTCTGAGAGTGTGAGAGTGTGTGCGCGTGTGTGTAATAACATGCTAACAGGAATTCACAAATCTGCACTTTTTTTGAAGGTTTGAAGAATATATTTATACTGTAGGTACGGAGCAATTGGGGTTTGTTTGTAAAAGTAGATCATTTATACTTGCTGAAATTTTATTTTGTTGTTACTTGTAGAATTTTTTTTCTTGTTTTGGTTCAATAAAATTTAATGGAAATTAAATTGGTTTCATTCTGTGTGGTTTTTTGTTTTGTTTGTTTTTTGTGTGTTTTGTACATAGCCATTAGACTAGCAGACACATACTCCAAGGAATCCATGTATAAAGTGGAATTATGAAACAAAAAAAAAGTTTTTGCATACGCCTACCCAGAATCCCTTGCAGTAGTGAGAGCACTGTTAAAGTGAGATTTCTGTGAGGAAAGCAAGTCTTATGACTTGACTGGTGTGTGTATTTGTGTTTAACAATGTATTAACGATCCACTTACTTCAGGTGGAAGGGATTTTCATCCACACTTTTCCCCCCACCCCAACTCTCTTGATAGATACATGCATTATATAGGTATAATATATAATGTAGAGCATGAGGACGTCAGAGACCGGACCAATGGTCCATTTTAATCCAGGAAGCCCTCTAATGGCTGTCTGGTGGACAGCCTCTGGAGACAGACTTAGTACTGCAATGGAAACATTGCAATTTCTCTGGAAAAGAGACACAGCACAGAGACCAGTTCATTGGGTGCCTATTTTGTCCCTTTAAACTGAATGGCAAAGCTCAGGCTCAAACGGTAGTTCCTTTAATAGTCTGTAATTAACGCGATCATTTTCAAAATGTATTCATTATAATATTTGTGATTATTACACTACACGGGTGTTTTGGTTTTTTTTCCAAAAATAAACAAAGAACAAGAACATATAAAATGATCAGTTCTGTACTGCATAAGTATCTTATGAATGGATTGGTAATACAATTTTTAAGGTAGCTAAGGTAAGTTGTGTATAGTATTGTGCCCATTCCGTTTATGAATGTATAATATAAAACAATGTATAAAAAGACAATCATTATTTGGTAACTGTAAAGACCCTACAGGTGTATATGGAAGATGGGGGAAGAGGGGAATTTGTAGAGCGTACAATAACCACAAGAAGTCTATTGAGCAGAGACAGCCCATGTGGAATCTCTTATTTTGTGAAAAGGGGTTTGAGGAGTTTTGGAGGAACTTCGATTGGTTGTATTTCAATTGTATCTCTCAACTTAGGTTTGGCTTAGGCGGCAAAAAACAGAGGCACAATCCTGCCTCTGCTACATGAGCGGCCCAGGATATTTTTAGCCAATAATTTCTTTTCTTTCTTTATACACACATATGTTACGGAATGAAGGAAAAGCTCTCTGGGGAAATCCAGTAATTTAGATTCCGCTCTCTACCTTCACAGAGCCACAATCAAAACCATACTAAGCCAGATTGCTGTTGATTTCCTCTGGTCTCTTAGCCTGTCCATTGCATCACGCCAAGATTAATCTGTTGAATACTATTTTAAACTTGTCTATTTGTAACAGTCTAATCTCTTTATATAACAAATGTAGTGTATTGTGAAATGCATATACATTTTCATTATTCTGATTACGTTAATTGCCTTTATGGGCAGTTTTCATGCATTTACTGTGTTGCATGTTACATGAAGCATAGAAGCAATCTAAACATTAAACATGTGGTTTGGACTTTTCACTTGGACTAGACAAATAGCAATGAGAAAGTGCTGGGGTGCATGAAGCTAAGTAATACTTCCCTAAAAACCCTACAGGGCACATCTACCCTGTTTCCCCGAAAATACACCCTACCCCAAAAATAAGCCCTAGCCGGATTATCGGGGTGGGCTGCAATATAAGCCCTACCCCGAAAATAAGACCTAGGCATTGCACCTTTGCGGCCTGGCGAGACTTCCTTCTTCTACCGTATGAGGAGGGGGGGGGAAAGCGTTGCGGGCCGCGGCATCGCGCAACGTGATGACGACCTTTCGCAGCGCCGTCAGTCTGCCTTCACGGATCTTCAGCGGAAGGATCCATTTCCGGGCGGTGAGGCACCCAGTGGTCGGACTCGGCGGGCAAGGAATCTTTGAAATGTGAGTAGATATTTTATGTCTGGGACTGAATTAATTAAAGGGGGGGGTGTGAATTAATTAAAGGGGGGGTGAATTAATTAAAGGGTGGGCTGGATTAATTAAAGGGTGGTGGATTAATTAGAGGGGGGTGGATTAATTAAAGGGGGGTGGATTAATTAAAGGGGGGGTGGATTAATTAAAGGGGGGTGGATTTATTAAAGAGGGGGGTGGATTAATTAAAGGGGGTGGAGAAAAGTTGTTTAAATGTTGTTCAATGTACATACCGGTACCGTAAATAAATAAGCCCTACCCTGAAAATAAGCCCTAGTGTGTTTTTTGTGACTAAAATTAATATAAGACCCGGTCTTATTTTCGGAGAAACACGGTATCAATTGTTAGAAAGCATTACCATGAAGTGAAAACATCTGGAAAACCGTGTCTACATTACTAACAAAATGGCTTCTGTAGATGGAAAACACCAAAAATAGGTGTCATGCTTCGAAGAAAGTGGCGTCGAGCAACTCTTGATTTCCGAAGTTATGAAATGACTCTGTTAATTTCCCCAACACTACTCCGTACACCAAAGAAATCATTAAATTATTTTAATTTCTATTAAAGCAATTATTTCTGTTGATCTATATAGCTGTGAATGTTTGAAGAGGGTAAATAGGTCCATAGAGCAAGAGAATGTCCAGGCCATGTGATTAAATTCTGTGACATCCTGCTGTACCCCGAGCCTTGACTAACACCACTGTGGTCTTTTCTGTTAGACCTGCTGTCCCTCAACCCCAGGGTCAACACTACTGTGGCTTTTTTTACCACAAACACCTAATACTTTGAACTTAGTCTGATGAACTATAATGAGCCTGAGACAGAGTAGCATCTTCAATTGTGGGCCTTTGCTCAAAGATAGGTACTTTACAAAAGCTTGGAATCCACGACTCTGCAAAGTTCAGTTAATTAGTTTCTTATTTGCTTCTAGAACGTACCTCCAGAATACTTTCCTGCTTGTTGGTTCAAACCTCACGTGAAGTTTAAAGCCCCCACTAATTTTCTATAACTTTCTGCATTACCCATTAAAGTTCAGTTTGCTCTACTCCTTAACCCCTTAAGGACACATGACATGTGTGACATGTCATGATTCCCTTTTATTCCAGAAATTTGGTCCTTAAGGGGTTAAATAATAGCTTGGACTATATTTGGTGGATGATACCTAGTGGCATTTATAGACCTGGTAAATGATTAAGCAAACAAGCCTACCAGCTAATCCTTTAAATCCAGTCTTTGTGAGTGCTTATCCAATCGGTTAAAAGAGGAGATGCCTATCCCAGTCACTGTGTGTAGTATGATGCTACAATCAGGTGGACTTGCACACCTTAATATCCAGGTGCCCATCTCTCCACAGTGTAGTATTTTCATAAACTTGGAATATTCCTTGAGTGTTCAGCCATGACAAAGTCTGACATTATGGACCTAAAAGTATATTTATTTAAATGACTTGTGAAGAACAATTTTTCCCCCTTTTATGGCTCTCGTAATAGCTCTGTGTGTTTTAAAACTGCACGTTTTACGAGATTCTATATCAGTCATCCAATGACAAACATTTGTTCTCTACTACTTTATCTCCATATTTCACTTGTACCTCTCTTCAGTCACCTGTTTTCCTATTCTGTCCCCCTCCTTCACACAATTGTTCTTTTCTCCCCCTACTTGTTCCCCTCTAATCTCCCCTTTTCAATTGTTTGTTTTCCTATTTGCCCTTAAGCATACCCCAACTCTCAGGGCTTAAGCAGCAATCCTAAGCAGCTGGAGGTACAGGAGTCTGTGCAGGGTTGTGACGCTGACACCATCTCTGTATGTTCTCCTGTTATTCAGGAAGTGATAACCTGCTGCCATAGTTCCTGGAGGAGAAGGGGGAAAAGAGCTATTTTCTTTTTCGCCTGAGCCTGAGCACTCCTTGTGTACCACCACAGGGTTCTGGCAATGTCTCTCCTCCTCTGTCTACCACCGCGACTACAAGGCCTCAATGGTCTTATGGGAAATTCGGCCATGGATTGACCAAAATGTAAGAGAACATTAGTTATGGGTTCAGCAGGGTAGGCACATAAATAAAAGTTTGTTGGAAACAGGAACACAAAATAAGATAAAATTATTTTGTGTGCCCGTTTCCAGTATACTTTAATCTTTGTGCCTACCCTGTTGAACCCATGGATTCTCAACTATTTTTTGGAGGGCAGAAGACTTCCTCCACAGTATATGGGGTTGGGCATTAGATCTTCGCTTCTTTTCTTCAGCGTTCAACACCCGATTACATTTTGAGTTCATACAGTTCTACATATAGGGTTAAAGAATCAGGGTGGTCATCCAAAGTTTGGAAAGTGTGGGCCTCAGTTGGTTCATTTAAACCACAGTGAATTAGGTATAAAAGTAACTAAGCTACTACCACTGGCACAATTTAAAAATCCAATGTTACCCCGGCCAAAATAAAACACCCCAAAACACTTTAACAGGAAGAAAAAGAAAAACAAAAAATACCAGAATATATGTGTCTTTGATTATATGGTACTTCTATCAGACAAAGGTAGAACTTAGTAAAGGGAGGTTCACTATTATTGGTTTCTTGCACTTGGTACTCCGACCAGCCTTGGCATGACTAAGGTTCCAGCAATCTGCAGTCACCTTCCATAACATAAGTGGTGAGGCTGGTCCAAGATCAGAGGAAAAAGCTGGAGGTTTGGCATTGAGAGAACTAAACCCTACATACAGAGTGAGACTGTTACGTTAGTTTAAGTGGAAACAGTGATTTGAAGCTTCTATTGTAAGTTATGAGTTACGTCATGGAATGATTAAAAATACACAAGAGAGTTTTGAATTGTAAAAAAAATGTGGAGGTCTCATGTATTGGGAATCTTAACCCCTTAAGGACACATGACGGAAATATTCCGCCATGTTTCCCTTTTATTCCAGAAATTGTGTCCTTAAGGGGTTAAATAAACTATACTTGGGGTGTATTGCGGGGGACTGTGCTCCATCTCTCTGGTGACCTAGGTACAGCTGAAGTGCAGTACCGGCCTGTCCATAAACCTCGGTGGAGCCACGGCACCAGGCGGCACTCTGACAGGGGT